ACCTTCAGGATCACCCCATGCTCCTCTTAAGGACCACTGAATCCTTATGGATGGAAAAGACTTTCAGGATCACCCCATGTTCCTCTTAAGGACCACAGAATCCTTATGGATGGAAAAGACCTTCAGGATCACCAAGTCCAACTGGAAATCCTTCATCCAGGATGTGATGTGTGAGGTGATGTGAGTGGGACTCACATCCTGGATGTGAGTGGCTGCTAGAGCCTCCTCTGCCCCAAACCCTGGATGGACCGCAGGGATTTTCCATGTCCCTGGCTCCCAATTTCCTCTTTCTTCTCCTCCTCAGCCTTCCACACCGTTTCCGGCAGGAAAACACATGTCGGCAGTCACGGAAGCAATGCCACACTGGGAATTAAAGCAGCTGTGACCATCTATGAACATATTCTCAGCAATTAACCTTTATTTTTGGGATGGTAATGCAGTATTTTTGACTACATTCCAGCGTGATTTAAAAATTCTCAATTACTTCTTGTTTTAGCTCACGTATCATACCACATATTTAGGGATTCTTTAAATCAAACTGACGTTCAGGTGAGAACCACGTTGCCACATTTTTTCCTGAAATTTGGCAGTATATGGCATTTTCATCAGCAGCCACTGGATTCTATAGGATTTACCCTCAAACTTACTCATTCAAAGGCATTAGAAAGAAAAATCTGGCCCCTGTTATTCCTCCTTTATAAGCATCATCCCAAAGAAACCCTACAGGTTTTCACRCTCCTGCTTGCTTACGAGCTTAATTTCAAGAGCAAAAGCCATGAAATCTGTAAAAAAAAGTGAAGAATTAAAAAGAAAATAATAAAACAAAAACACACTTACTGCTTGCAGGAGGCATAAATTGTCTCTCAGGGATGCCAGCACACCCACAAAAGACACGAGGAACATTATAATCCCCAAAAGGATTAAAATAATTGCTGGGGCTAGAAAGGCACTTTCCAGGGTTTTGTACTTCTGTCTTTCAACTTCTGCATAAATCCCGACAGCGAGAACAAATGCTCCAATTATCTGAAATGGAGAAAAAAGCACAAGAACACAGATGTTATTATTTTTTTTCCCCCCAGTAAATACAGAGATGAAATTCTATTACTGCGAGTATGAATCCGTGACTAACTACTCCAGAATTAATTATCATCCATTAAACATTCACTAGGGAAAGCCTGAATAAAAATCTCCAAGACTGGCAGAAAAAGCTGAATTTGGGGAGAAAAAAGAAAGAGATTTGCTCCTTTCAGAAATCTGTTTAACTATTCAATAATAAAGGTCCCAGCAGTTTGGAATTCAACCCAGTAACCCAGTTACATACGTTTCAATTTGTTTAAAATTTAATTTATTGGCCACCTGAGCGCAGGTACAAATTTGCAAGTGTCACGACATTAATATTTCTTCTTTGCATGTTCTCTCTCCCTAAATATATACATATATATATATATATATATACACACACATACACACACTGAGAGAGTTAGAAATCTCACTGCAGGACTGTGGATCACAGAAAACACATTAGGCAAATAACCATTCTTTAAATTTATCATTTCTGTGACTAGATCATCTCTTCCTTAATACATCATGGGGGTTTCTACCACTACCCGGCTGCTCTGCAGCATTCCTTTAAAAAATTAACTAAGCCATAAATTATAAATGGTTCTTCTAGCAGAAAACAACACAAACTCCTGTGAAATATTTAAATATAGGCATACTAATTGAGGAAAGAATCGTAAAACTACGTTAAGAGCAATTAGAGGAAATAACATTTGCAAAGTCCTCTGGTTTTTAAGGAATCACTGTGTAATTAATGGAGTTCCGGGGAAATACAGACCCGGAGCAGCAGTTTGMGACTGGCAGCGTTTACAGGGATTTACAACGTTTACAGGGATTATTTTCCGGAGAAAAGGGGATTGTGCTGGAGCTGCCTTTCAACATGGGCTAAAAAGTGATTTCCAGGTTTGGCTAAACTGAAAATGCAATTTTCATTACTCACCTTATTTYCTATTAGCTCGAGCATTTCCTATTCTAGGCCTTGGAAAGCGCCGGGGTGACACCCGCGGCCGCCACAACTTCACACGTGCCCCGAAACGCACGCCTCCCAGACCACCCTAAAAACCACATCTCACCAAAACTGCTTTTCCTAAGCTGTATTTTCCTTACAGATTTTCCTTTCCTRTAATCCTATTTTCCTTTCCTATAATCAAAACTATCCCGACACTTTAAGAGCATCCTAGGTTAGCATATCAGAAATACCCTAATATATAGGAAATACATCAAATATCCTAATATACAGGAAATATATCTGATGTCTAGGCTATCAGGCACATACAGGCTCAAAAACCCTGTGGTATATAGAGATGCATATCGAGGCGCTTAGGTATGTACATACGTACCCTGACCCCCTTCCACGTGCAGCTTGCTCCTACACCCCCCAAGAGCATTTCCAGCATGATGAATRCACCRGAAACTTTGGAATTTTTTTTYCYTTTTKGKTTTTTTTTTTTYTCCATTTTTTTTTAACTAATTGAAGTCTCTACCCGGACTCAGAGCAGCGGCTCCAGGCAGCAGCAGCCGGTGCAATGTGGAAGATGCTTGAAATCCCCGCGGCATCTCCTGGCCGGCAGCTCCTTCCCTTCCTGTACATACAGATGGGAATGTAGGGAGCTCCCAAACACACGTCCTGTTTGCATCCCGCATCCTGAGCAGCGTCTCCGGCTCTGGCAACACCCCCAAACCCGGATCATGGACACAGGAAACACGCGCCGGCCTTGGCTCGCGCCGAGCACCAGCAACACCAGGGGCTCTGCATGCAAACAAGCTGCTTTTCCCGAGGAAAAGGAGCTTTTTTAATCCAATCTGCTGGTTTTAATACTGTATTTATGGCTTCTGCTGTCACAAAGGAAAACGTGGTGCCTGTTTGGCAAGAGCAGGCAGCAAGGAGGAGAAACTGAGCTGCGACTTCATTCACTTGGGAACGGGCTCTCCAAAAAAGTTAAGAGCAAGGATAGCTTTTAAAGGAAGCCCCAGGTGCCACCTGCAGACCCAACCTGCCAACGGACACGCTCATTCGACTGCACAAACGGTGTTTTTGGGGCTGCTCTCCTCACGCTTTCCACAGCGCTGAGATGCCAGGCACAAAAAACGCCCCCGAATCCCGAAAGCCGGCGCTCGCTGTTGAAATTCCACAGGCACGTTCTGCTCCCACGTTCACGCCAACGGAGACGCAAGGGGCCAAGCAGAAGCAGAGAGATGTCCAGATGTAGCTGCGGCGTTGATGCTGCGAGATGCGGCCCACGGAGCCCGAGGAACATGGGGAACCACAACGCGACACGGCTCCGGAGCAGAGCTGCCCTGCGCGGCCATGGGTGCTCCCAGCGCCGCGAGGAAGCCTCTCCTCCTCCTCCTCCTCCTCCGTGCGGGGGGGACAGGCAGGCACAGCCCTGGCCGCAGCCCCAAAAGGGCTTTTTTTCTCCCCAGCTCGCGCTGGGTGAGCGCACGAGCACCTGTAGCGTGCGCACAACAGCCCGCACGCTACACCCTGCACACACAACACCCCGCACACACAACACCCCGCGCACACAACACCCCGCACACACAACACCCCGCACACAACACCCCGCACACAACACCCCGCGCCCACAGCCCTCCCCCGCGCCCCCTCCTCACCCAGAAAGCGGTGCTGTAGGCGACGAGCGTGAACTTGAGGCAGAGGTAGGAGAGGCGCCCGCAGTAGCGCGCCCGCTCCGCGTCCCCCGGCGCCATCCTCCTCCCCTTCCTCCCCTTCCTCCTCCTCCTCCTCGCCACCTGCTGCCGCTGTCACCGGGCGGAGCTTCCCGCGCGCCGCCCCTTTCCGCGGGGTTTCGGGGGGTTTGGGGCTCACGAGGCGCCCGCTCGCACCCCACGCCGGGGCCCGTGTCCCCCCACGCGCGGCACCGGTGTCACTCCAGGCCTGCGCGCTCCGCTGCGCCCCGGGGGTGACGCGTGCGCGGTGCTTCCTCCCCGGCGGCGCGCAGGGCGTTATTCACCCTTCACCCCTGCTGTTTGCATCCCTTGGGTGGTGGCGGCAGCGCTGGTTGGCCTCCTGCGGCCGTGCCCAGCGTAGCCAGGGCAGGCAGCGCTCCAGCCCGACGCCCCGCGCCTTTCCCCGGCGGCTGCGAACGCGTTGCTCGGCTTTGGCATTCCCACGCAGAGCTGGACCCGCCGGAGCTGGAAAACTYGCCGTTCCCTCCCGTTTCCGAGCCCTCATGACCAGTCCCGATGCCGCAGGCAGCCRGGGACGGCTACAACCCGCAGCGGGCACGGGGCCAGTGCCAACTGCTCTTGGAAACGTCGGCGCCGACGGGCTGTTTAGGTTTGACGTAGTTCATCCCAGCGCGGACAGCGGGACTCGTCCTGGGAGCGCCGCGCTCCGCGCCGGAGACACCCGCAGCAAAACGGCCCCAAAGGGGCCCAAAAGGGACGGGTTTCCACCCGCTTTGAAACGCCCTGGGGCTCGACCCCACGCCGGTATTTCCTGAGCCCTGAARACAACCTGACGGAAGAGACCGCCTGCTGCTGCCGGCCTGGAAAACCCTCCACCCCTCTTCTTTTTCTCTGCCTTTTCCTTGTTTTTTTAGGGGAAAAGGAGCTCAGAGGGGGAGAGGTCGGRGGCCAGGCGGCTGCTTTGGCTTTGCCCTTCGCTCTGTGGGAGCCATGAGCACGGCTCCGCTTCCCAACGGGAGCAACGTCGCCGTCGGGGCACCCTTGGGGGCCGGCGGCAACGGGACGGCGGAAACGCAGTTCACGCAGCCCGGCTGGCAGATCGCGCTCTGGGCCGTCACCTACGCGCTCGTGGTGGCGGCCGCGCTCGTGGGCAACGGCACCGTCATCTGGATCATCCTGGCGCACCGGCGCATGCGGACAGCCACCAACTACTTCATCGTCAACCTGGCGCTGGCCGACGCGCTCCTGGCCGCCTTCAACACCGTCTTCAACTTCGTCTACGCCAGCCACAACGTGTGGTACTTCGGCGAGGAGTTCTGCCGCTTCCAGAACTGGTTCCCCGTCACGGCCATGTTCGTGAGTATTTACTCCATGACGGCCATCGCTGCGGAGAGGTAAGAGGCAACGGGGGGAGGCAGCCGCTCCAAAACCTGCTCTACGCAGGAAAAAAAAAAACATTAAAATTAATATAAATATATATATATAGCAACACGCTGTGCAGTTGGTCCCTATCTGTGCAAATAGAGGATGGGGTCAGACGCCAGCGGGGAAATGAATAGTAGGTCCCCCTGCCTAATCCCCGGCCTGAATCATGCCCAGCTCTGCGACGCACGGCAAGGGCTTGGATTTGTTTTGTTCCCAAGTTGCATGCGTTTCCCACGCACGTCTTTTCGGGTTTTAAGCCCTGTGAAGATGCCGTAATTTACAATAATTCACAGGCATAATTTATTGCAGGGAGCGGGGAAGCGATCACGCTGGTTTTGTTTGACTTTTCGGCCAGTTTAGCGCTTTCATAATGCTCCCTCGGAAGTCCCTCTCACTCGAGCTCAGATTTATGGCGTCCCAACGCGTTTATGGTTTGCTGTTAAGCAGCCTAAGGCCCTTTTCCCCCCCTCTATTTATGAGGAAACAGTCGAAAGTCCACAGCAATTCCCTTCCTTGGAGGCAGCGGGGCTCTCGCGTCGCCTCCGCAGCCCGGCTGAGCACAGAAATCCCTGGGTTCCTTATCGTGTCCTCTCCCTGACTTTGCCGTTTCCTCCCCTCTTATCGGCCGGGGAGAAGGGCCCTGGCAGCTYCCGCGGGAGCCTCCTGGGAAGCAGCTCCCTGAGTCACATCCCGACGGGCCCGGGTCCCCGCTCGCCGCCCGCAGTTATTTTACACACACATGCTGTCCAAGGAGAGCCCAAAACGCCACCGTTTCCACCCGTTCTCGTGTCTTCCGCCTCTCATTCCTTGAGGATAAAGCGCCTCTCCGAAGCCCGAGTCGCTCGAGCCGCGCGGCGAGAGCCGACTTGGCGTCTCCCCGCAAACCATATTTAGCTCTTCTTTGCTTTGACCTTAAAATAGGCGCCGACTCCGTCTCCCGCAGCCCCGTTTGCTCTCGTGAGACCCAGTGTCCCCCCCAGGATCCACTGCTTAGGACGAGGGGTGCCGGAGCATGGAATTTGTTAGATTTCCCATGTAGGAAACGGGAGGACGTTGGCATTTTCCATCCTGTTTTGCCTCGGACAGCAGCATGGGGAGATGTGGGAGCAGTGCATGTTTCCCAGTGCTAAAATCAGTGCAAAAAACGATGACAATAATAATAATAATAATAATAATAATAATAATAATAATAATAATAGGTAAAGTCTATGCAAGATCGTGCTGTTATGAGAATACGGAACATTAAATATTGGCACGAGGAAAGTGTTCAGTGCATTTAGGTGCCGCAGCAACACGGTGATGTTCAGCTGTCCGTATTATTTTAAGTGCACGGGACATGTCCATGGGAGAGGCGAGAGCCAGGAAAGTGCGCTGGCCTTTTCAGAGCCCCTCTTGGTTGAGTTGTCGCTGTGTTTTCTGGCCCGCTTTACGGAGGCGCCCGCGCRAAGCGCTGCCCGCTTTCCTTGCAGGTACGTGGCCATAATCCACCCGTTCCGGCGGCGGCTGTCGGCGGGAGGCACCCGGGTCGTCATCGCGCTCATCTGGCTCGTGGCCTTCGGCCTCGCCTTCCCGCAGTGCTTCTACGCCGAGATCCTCACGGACAACGGGGCCACCAAGTGCGTCGTCGTCTGGCCCGACGACGTGGGCTGGAAGCACCAGCTCACGTAAGACCCGCTCCCATCCTGCAAATTGGTGCAGGGAGCAGCAGCATCCCAAGGGGAGCAGGTGCAAACCTTGCTTTTCTCTGGGGAAAACCTTGGAAGCAACTCAAAAAAGAGAAAGAAAACGCCCAATATTGTGCTTGCAGAGGGAATCCGGGAGGCGAAGGGTCCCGCCGCCGCGCTCGGTGCCAGCAGCGCTGGCGTGGGCGCTGTTGGCAGCTGCTGGCTCCCTCCCCATAAACAGCGTTTGCTGAAAATACCCGGGGACGGGCAGCAGGTCCTCTCTGCTCCTGCTCTAAACAAGACCCCGCAACGATGCTCTCCTGACCATGGAAACCTTCCTATTTTGTCGTTGCTTCCCCCCTTTCTCCAGGTATCACCTGGTGGTGATCGTGCTGATCTATCTGCTGCCCTTGCTGGTGATGTTCGTGGCGTACAGCATCATCGGGGTCACGCTGTGGAGCAGCAGTGTGCCGGGCGGCCACGTGAACCGCCTCCCRTACGAGCAGCAAGTGAACGCCAAAAAGAAGGTGAGCAGTTAGTCCAGCTCCAGAGCAGGGCTCAAGCTTAGTGTGAAATCCCGCTGGGTTGGGAAGGGTGAGGATGGCTTGTTGGCCAAGGGGCTTTGCCCTGCGAGTGGGAAAGAGCCTATGGGGACACTCGAGGAAGGGAGGTCCACAGCACCAGGGAGGGGGGCAGAGTGCCCAGAAACCTTGGAGAGGACAGGGCGGCATCCAGCGAATCCGCGTAGGACGGGATGAGCCTGTCCCGCGCTTCCAGGGCTTTCCATGCATGGTGCTTCTGAACAGAGAGGTAGGCCCAGGAGGAGAGCAGCTCCTCCCGGGAGCCGTGACGCGCTGCTTTTGCCCCGCCAGTTTGTGAAGACCATGGTGGTGGTCGTGGTCATCTTCGCCGTCTGCTGGCTGCCCTACCACATCTACTTCCTCCTGGGCCACCTCAAGGAGGACATCTACCAGCAGAAGTACATCCAGCAGGTCTACCTGGCCATCTTCCTGCTGGCCATGAGCTCCACCATGTACAACCCCATCATCTACTGCTGCCTCAACCAGAAGTGAGTAGCAGCGTCCCCACGCACGCGCCACGTCACTCCGGGTCGCTCCGGTTAATTCCCCGTCCCGCGCTCGCAGGTTTCGCTCCGGCTTCAAGCTCGCCTTCCGCTGGTGTCCGTGTGTCACAGCGACCGAGAGGGACAAACTGAAGCTCGCGTCGCCCTTGCACTTCCAGACGACGCGGAGGAAGTCCAAGGCCTCCAGCTTCAGCACGGACAYGCAGCTCAACGAGAGGACGTCGTTCACCCTGGCGCAGCTCACGCTCTGACCGCCTTCCCTATCAGAAACTCGGGGGCACGTGGTGGGGTCTTTGCYCCAGGATAGACAAGATTTTCGTGCTCACATTACAGGCATTTTGGTAGCGCAACAAGGAAGGGGACAGCGAGTGCGTCCCCGAGAACATCGGGGAGCATCGGAGCTGCAAAACGCAGCCCTTGGAGAGGCACGGAARGGGCTCTCACACCCGGATCCGGGCCCCACTCCCCATCCGGGAACGCGCACAGGGCAGCACCGCCGGCAGCAATCCCTGCAGAGCAGGCGCTTCCCGAGCGCCGCGCCGCCGGCGTGCCGCCCGGGAAAGAACCACTCCACACCAGGTTACCGCACATCCAAAAAAAGGAGAGACGTTTAATATTTTCCACAAGTACCACGCGACACTAGCACGGGAGCCACCGGTGTGCAAAGTAAAAAGGCGCTGGGCCTGTGCGGAGGCAGGCGGGCATGCGGGGTCCCACGCACGCAAAGCTGCAAGGACGGGGCGCGACGCGCACGGCACTCGCCGCCGGGCACCCACCGGCACGCACACGGAAGCGCCTCGGAAAGGCAGGACCATCCCAGCGTTGGGAACGGCACGGACTCAGGGGGAAGGGCCTGCAAATTCCTGCCTACTTTCTGCAGGGAGAGAGGTGGGAAGGCCATGCAGGCATCGCCGTTTTGGGGGGAGAACGGGAGTTAAAGGCTCACGTAGTGTCAGCTCTCCCGCCTTGCAGAACGTGGGGTGACTTGCGACTGCCTTTGAGCTTCTGCCTCCCTAAGCTACTTCTCAACGTAGGGAAAACGAGTGCGCGTGAATGTAAGGATGGCATCGACTCRACGGAGGACACGAAACACCAAGTGTGTGTGTAGCCCTGTTGCTTTAGTCCTTGGAATAAGCTGGGCCTGACTTTGGTGGTTGGGTGGGTCGGTTGCTCTCTGAAGCTGGGTCCTCAAAGCCAAGATTGGGGAAAGAAAAAAAAAAAAGAAAAAATCAAACCCTCCAATTCCTTTCTCCTCCTGGCCTTTAGCTGAATTAAAGATTAAAGCTTTGAGTGGAAACAAATACTCATTTAGGGGGAGAGAAGGAAGGAGGCATCCGGGCAACACGAGGGAGCTGCAGGTCCRGCAGCTCCGGTGCCCCATCCGGGCTGGCAAGAGGAGACAGAAAACGTGTTTATAGGAGGTCCCAGGCAGGTCGGCATCACCCCCGTCACCACCCGCCTCCCTCGGGATTTTCCTGCCCCAGCGCTCCGGGTCCCGCTCGGCAACACGACACAACTCACAGAGGCAGCGGGAGACGCCGGCGGAGCCAGAGCCGCAGGGCGAGGAAATGTCCCAGCGCTTCCCAGCGCGGCGCAGCGGGAGCCGAGGAAGCGAGCGGGGCCGCGCGGGCGCCGAGGCTCCCGTACGGAGCAGCGACCGGCCGCTTCCCGCCTCCGGGAGCAAATCCCACGTGCGGCGKCGGGAAGCACAGACCCGCTTCCAAGGACCTACAGGGCGGGCAGGGACCAACAAGGTGAATAAAAAACATGCAGATTGGGTTGGGGGTCCAGAAACAGGAGATATTATTAACAGCACACATTCTAGCTTGTATCCTATTCATGTCATTAGTTGTGTTTTTTGTGGGTTTTTTTCCCAATAAAGCAGTGAGTTCTGGGGGKTTTTTTTAATTTTTTTTCCTTCCTTTTCCGTTGTCACCCGCTCAGGCTGGGCAGTCGCCGCGTTAGGAGGAAGCGCCCGGCGGCGCGGCTCAGTTCTGCTCGGCGTCGCGCAGGCGGCAGCCCACGGCCGTGATGAGCGCCGCCCCCTTGCCGCTGCCGTCCTCCGAGAGCAGGAAGGTCACGTCGCACTTGGGCGCCAGGTCCTTCACCGTCTGGTGCATGATCCTCGAGAAGCTGCCGGGGGGCGGGAGAAGCGGCGCCGTCAGCGGGGGACACGCGGGGACGGGGGGTCCCGGGGCGTCCCTTAGCCGGGGAAAGCGGGGCAAGGCTGGAAACATTGGGGGCGGCTGAAGATGGGGAGCAAGGCCCTTCACCCCAGCATGGCCAGGGTGACTCTCCTGTCAGAGGGAAGGTCCCCTCCTTGGAACCCACCCAAATGTGGCGTTTCGCCCTCTTCTCCTCCAGCCTCCCGCTCCTTCGGGCTCTCGCCAAGCACCACTCGGTGACTCTGCCCGGCTGCAGGCAAGCAGCCTGCCAGAGCGGTGCATTTTCTCCATGATCCTGGAGCTCCATTCCCCTTGCAACGYGCTCAGCAAGCCCCGCCACCTTCCGAATCCCTCGGGAGCCCTCCTGGTTCCCCTCGGGGCCTGGAGGAAGGAAAAAGGCCTCGCGGCGCGGGGCCAACCACCACTCACTGCGGGTGCAGCTTGTAGAGCGTGCCGTCCACGCCGACCGTGATCTCCAGGTGCTCCAGGCCCCTGTTCTCCCGGATCTTGTCCACGACGGCGGCCATGCCGGCGCCGCAGAGCTGCGCGGCCCGCCGCGACACGGCGCCGCACACCGTCTTCACGATGATGCTGTCGTCGCACGTGCTGTTGAGGCCCAGCTGCTGCAGGATGGTGCGCACCTGCAGCAGCGCCAGCCGGTCGCTGCGGGACGAGAGGCCGTCAGAGCTGCCCTCCGCCCGAGGGTTTTCCAAGGAAACCCTCCAGCACTGCCTTGCTCTTCCCGCCCGCCTCGCCGTGTGAAACCCAGCCCAGGAGGGTGGCACCCGCCGCCACGGGGAGGCCCTCACCTCTCGATCTGCGAGAGGAACTTGGTTTCGAAGATGTGCCGCGTCTTGAGCGTCTCCGAGATCTGCCCTCGGAAGAGGAAGCCCCGCTTGGTGAAGTCGATGAGGATGTTGCGGACGATCTCGCCCAGGTACATSCCGCTGATCATCTTCTCGTACCTGCAGCGCAATTCCCTTGCACTCAGCACTCCCGGTGGCAGCGGGAGCTCCCGGAACGCCGGGGACGCTTAACGCTCCGCTCYGGAGCGGCCGATTCCTGCATTTCCCCACTTATCGCAGGGCACAGCGGCCTCCCGGAGCGCCGGGCTCGTCCTGTCCTGGACGCGCGCCACGCACTCCATTTGAGAGCACACGCCGCCTCCCTCCCGAGCGCCAGGCTCTTCCCGGAATACCTCGCCCGGGAGGCTCATTCCAGGCTGACTCAGCAGCTCCCACCTCTGTCTGCACCCTGCAAACCTCCCCCGAGGTTTTGGCAGGGACCCGGAGCCGCCGCTGCATGGAGCGCCGCTAGCGACACGGCGGCTCGTCCGGAGGACAGGGAAAAACGGCTACCGGGAGAGGGGCAGGCAAGGGAGGGCCCCAGGACACCGGCCACGCTCGCGCTCCGTCCCCTCCAGCCGGGAGGAACCCCGTGATGTCCCCAGAGACGCCAGGCCGGCTTGCTCCGCGCGCCGGGGCTACCTCTGCTTGCCGGCGTTGAGCGAGAAGTCGTCGACCGCCTTGTCGTAGATCGTCCGGATGTCGTCCAGGCAGCCGTTGTCCCCGAAGGCTCCCCACTCCATGTTCACGCACATCCTCCCTTGCTCGCCCTCCACCATCTCCACGTTTCTCATCTCCTCCATGTAGCACGCGTTGCTGCCGGTGCCTGCAACGGGCAMACGCCGGAATTACTCCCGTTTTTGAAAGCCGAGCAACGCCGGAACAAGCGAGAGCCCTGGCAAAACCTCAGCCTGCTCCTGGGCCTCTGCTCCTCGTGGGTATTTGCCGGCTTTGTAGGACAGAGCCGTGCAGAAAGGGCAGGAGAAAAAGCAGCTGGGGCACGTACCCACGATGAGCCCGATCTCGCAGTTGGGGTCTTCGTAGGCGCACGTCATCATGGTGCCCACCGTGTCGTTCACCACGGCCACCACGTCCAAGTCAAACTCCTGCGGGAAAGAGAAGCAGAACGGTGAGAGACACGAAGGGGCACCCAAAACGGGGCACAGGCAAAACACACCGGGAACAAGAAGCTGGAAGGATTGCCCCGGATTTGGCACAGGCACAAATAGGAACCTCATCCAGCAGGCAGGCAGCTCAAGTACCTCGCGTGGGGTGATTTCTACCCCTAGATGCTTAAGGTTTTCCCATGGCATGGGAAACAGGGGAGGTGCCTGGAAAAATGTTCCTAAAAATCACCACATTGAAAATGAAAAAACAAAAAAAACTGCTTTTCCAATATCCTGACACCAGGACAAGTAGGTTTGAAATATGCCCCAGGTCTGAAACACTCTTTGAGAATTTTCACACGTTTTGCAAAACKAGAAGCCTTTGGGGAGGAAAAAACAACAGAACGATGAGCAACAAGCAAAGGAACCAAAACCCCAGCTTGGTTCATTCTCAGTCACAGTCTCAGTTTGGTGGACGAAGGTCAGAAACCCCAGGTGAGGGAGCCAAGCGGGCCCACAGGGCCTGGCAATTCTGCAGTGAGAAACAGGAAGGAGGCAGAGAAATATTAAATTGAAAAGAAAAACAAAATCACCTCTCTCCTTTTGATTCCTTCTCTGAGCAAATACACCACGTCTTCTCCCTCGCAGTCGGTCGCTTTAAACCCTTTCGTCCAGTTGAGCAGGATGCCCTGAGGAGAAAGGAGAGATTTCTGAGTRGAATTCCCTTGCGCTCACCGGACTGCTCCGAGTCCTGCAGTGCCCCGCGGGAGAATCACGGAGCGTTTCCGCCGGATCATCTCCCTGCGTTCGGCCACCCTGGCCCACAAGGGCACAGAAACCTAATAACGGGAGCAGGGCCAAGCGACCCAGAGCTGTGTGTGCTGCGGATGGATGTCTGGATGCTGCTCCTGTCGCTGCTCTTTTCTCCTTCTTGAGACATCAATATCTGTCTCGTTTTTAAGCCCCAATTCTATTATTTCAAGTGCTTCAGGGCCAAGTTACCCAGAGGTCTCTCCACAAAGGAGGAGGATCTCTGCAGCTTTGGAATTCTGCACCTAGACCCACTAATCCCACCTCCTCGCAYGCAAACTTCCAGGCCTGAGTCGCTCAGCACCCTGCCCCAGGACAGAAAATGGAAAAGGGGAGCACGAGACGCCAGCATCCGACACTGGGAGCTCCTTCTTCCCCAAGTGCTAGGGCAGGGCTCACTGGAACACCTTCGCCAGGAGACAGCGCTATTGCGCAAAGCATGAAACGCAGCAGCGTCCCAAAGCAGCCAAGCCACGGGAAGGGGGGGAGTTAGGCCTGGCCTAAGCGCAAAAGCAGCTTCGCGAGGCGCTACRGAACTCACAGCGTCCAAGCTGGTCTGCTTGCAAGGGAAGGAGAAGGTGAAGCCCAGAGGAAGCCGGGCGCCCTTGATTCCCATATAATCCAGGAAGTCGGAAATGCAGGTGACGATGTGATCGAACAGCTGCAAAGGGAGAAGTCTCGGGCTTGAATGCGCACAGCTCGCGCTCGCTGATTCGCGCGCGCATTTAAAGGGAAGCTCCCGGACTCACCTCCTCTCCGGTTCCCTGCATCACTTCGATGGGAATGGCGTATATCTTGTTGTGCATTTCCACCGTTCTCCTTTTACCGCTGCGGATCTTCACCAGCAAAACTCTGAAGTTTGTTCCTCCAAGGTCAAGCGCCAGAAAGTCTCCATTCTCTGCAAAATAACGGGAGGGAAAAAAGAGTAGGATAGAGGAAATCTAGAAGAGGTCTCCTTCTTCCCAGGAGGTGGCAGGTGGCTCTCGCAGGAAGACTTTAGGTGCTGCTTTGATTACTCCAGACTTTTTCCCTCCCTTTTTTAGCAATTAAGGGAGGAAGAGGGGTCTGGGCAGCAGCTCCTTGAGGAAAAGGAAGGCAATGAGAACGGGGCTGCCTGTGCTCTCACCTGTGCCATCGGGCGTGCTGCGCACGAAGGTGGGCAGCATCTTCACCTTGGCCGCCTCGTGGCTCTTCTTCCTGAGGCCGGCTTCCATCTCTGCCCGCATCCTCTTCTTGACCTGCAGCAGCTGCTCGTGCGTCAGCTTGAACTCGGCGAGCGTCTCGTCGATGAGGCGGTGCTGCTCGGCCAGCCGGTAGGCCACGGCCGTGACCATGGCGGCGCCCTTGCCGCTGCCGCTCTCCGACAGCAGGAACCGCACGTCCGAGTCGGGCACGAGGCGCCGCGTGGTCTTGTGCAGGCGCCGCGCGTACCTGCGGGACGGGGGCGCCCGTGAGGGCCGGCGCGGCGCCCGCCGGGGCGCAGTCCCCGCCGCGGCACTCACTGTGGGTGCATCTTGTAGAGGGAGCCGTCGACGCCGACGGTGGTGCGCAGGCGGCCGACCCCCTTGTTGTCGCGCAGCTGGCAGAGGATGGCGCCCAGCGTGGCGGCCACCAGGTTGGCCGAGCGGAAGGACACGATGGTGCACACGTGCTGCACGGCCACGCAGTCCTCGTGCGACGGCTCCACGCCCAGGCGCGTGAGGATCTCCTTGGCTTTGCTCAGGCCCTCCTTGCTCCTGCGGGCAGGGCAACGCGGCTCGTTAAGCGCAAGGAGCCGCAGCTGCCCCACTGATCTGACGGACTCACACTCGGACAATCCTGCCTCTTGCGGCCCGCTAGGGACCATCAGAAACTGGAGGCTGTCCTGTCCTTAGAGCCACGGTGCCCCTTGGGACACAGCCTGGAATTTCCACTTCCCATTTTGCCAAGGCGCTTGGCCAATTTCCCCGTTTTTTCCCCCTGTCGCTGTGTTCAATGCTCCCTCAGCTCCACGCAGGCCCCGGTGGCCGGCACGGAGCTGCCACACGCACGGGGCCGGCTGCCTGGACAAGCGGCTTGCAGGGCGGGAGCTCACGGGGGGCCTGTGGAAGTCGCTGTGTGTGTCAGCACCAGGGGGTGAAGGGCCCAGCAGGCCCTGCCAAGGCCCGGCCACGGCCTTCCACGCCATTCCCACCTCACTGCAGGCTTCTGCCAGCAGCCAATCCCAAGAAAAGCGTGGCAGCCCCACCAAGCGCCACCAACCCCTGGAGCCTGGCGGAGAGGCCACCACCCTCAACGCAGCACGGTCCCATGGATGGGGCCCCGGGAAGCTGTYGGGATATAAAGGCACTCACTTTTCTATGGCAGAAACGTGCTTGGTCTCGAACTTGCCCTTGGTGAGCAGCTCGGGGGTGATCCTGCCCTCGAAGAGCAGCCCCTCCTTGGCCATCTTCACCAGGATGAGCCGCACCAGCTCGCCCATGTAGAGCCCGCTCACCATCTTCTCGAACCTGCAGGGGCACCCGCCGGCAGAGGCGACCGTGGGAACGCTGCCCAAGCGTTCACCATCCCGAGCGCGATGGCAGGAGCCACTTTTGTCCCCATGGGAATGCCAGACATGCTCAGAGCTTTCTCCAAGCTCTCCTAAACAAGCTGCAGGGTCAGGGGGTCCTTCTTTTGGGGCCACCTTGCGCCCTCAGCGTTAAACAGCCTGTCTGCAGCCTTGCCAAGATCCTCCTCCTGCTGCACGTCCYTTTCCCCGGCCGCTAACAGGACCTTGCAAGGAAGCCGCTCCACCCAGGAGCTTCCCCCACCCCGTCCCATTCAACGCAATAATTAAGATAACGACCGAGCCCCAGTTAATTTAATAATCGGCTGGCTCAGGCCAGGACTGGGGCGATAAGCTGTGAACCGGAGCCAACAAAGCAAACAGCCGTGTCCCTAATGGGGCTGTCTATAACCCCAGTCAGGCCCTGCGCTTCCTCTCTGCTCCAGTGGCTGCTCAGGGGCTCAGGAGAGCCCTGTCCCCAGCTCCCAGGAGCCGCGCGGGGCCCCGGGGCTCCCTYGGGAGCGCAGGGCTCCTCCAGGCCGGCGCCACTCACAGCTGCTTGCCGGGATTGAGGGAGCCGCGGTCGATCTCGCGGTCGAACTCGGTGCGGATGTCCTCGAGCGAGCCGTCGTCGCCGAAGGCGCCCCACTCCGTGTTGACGCACATGCGGCCCTCGTCGCCCTCCACCAGCTCGATGTGCCGCAGCTCCTCCATGTAGCAGGCGTTGGTGCCCGTGCCTGCGCGCGGAGGCCGTGAGGAGCGGCGCCCRGGGCCGCCTCACGCGCGCCTGCGCGCCCGCCCGCGCGTTACCGATGATGAGGCCGACTTCGCAGCGCTGGTCGTCGAAGCCGCACGTCATCATGGTGCCCACGGTGTCGTTGACCACCGCCATGATGTCGGCGTCGTAGTCCTGGCGGGGAAGGGGGCGTTGCGCGGGCGCCCCCCGATGATAACCCGCGCCCCCCAACGTCCCCGTCTGCGCGCCCGCTCACCCCGCGCTTCTTGATGGCCCTGCTCAGCAGCCGCACGACGTCGGCGCCCTCCACGCCGCTCGCCTTGAAGCGCTTCGTCCACGTGATGAGGATTCCCTGCGGGAAGAGCAGCGCCGCCCTTGGCATCGCGTCCTTGTCCCCTCAGGAAGGAGGCCGTTGTGCTCCTCACGCGTCCCCAGGTCCCTCTCCTCACCCGGGCCACCAACCCAGCCGGGGATGATCCACAAGCTTTGATCCCCATCACTTAAAAGACGGGAAACATTTAACCCTTCCCCTGGCTATGTTTCTTCTTAAACATTCAGGACTACAGAAACTTGGCCTGCTAAACCCAAAGAAACACCCCCAAAACCACCTCTACTTTTTTCTTTTTTTCCCAACATCTCCGGGATCCTGCTTTTCCGTTGCAATAACGCAGCAGCTCTTTTGCACATTAAGCAAACCRTGCCGCGTTCTCACCTCATCCAGCTTGGACTGCCGGCACGGGAAAGAAAAGGTAAAGCCGACCGGTAATTTCTTGTCTTTGATCTGTTGCTTCTCCATGAAGTCGCCCAGGCATTCAGCAACGTGATCAAAAAGCTATGGAAAAGAAAGGGAAAACAGACGYGAATCAAGAGAGAGCTCAAGGGACAGAATATTTCAATTCCAAATTTTTAAGATATTTAAATGGCAGATCTCCCAGGCAGCACATATTAACACCCTAGCAAACAGGAGGTACAAAATCAGTTGTTTGTCAGTGCGTGTCTGTTAATGCTCATTCCACAGGGCATCTTTTACACTGATAAAAAAGTGTGGAAAAAAGTGGTTTTTTGCTKGAAAAAGCGGCAGGTGACTTTCCCACCTTGTACTTAACACGGGTAAGAACAAAACATCCTTTCAACCTTCCCTTAACAAGAAGATGCCTCGGAAAAGAGCAGGCGGGACTGGATCCCACACGGGGCCGAGCTCTTCTCCAGCGAGGCAGGAAAACATCTATGAACTTGTGGAATTGCAGTGGCTTCTCAGGGGGAATGCTGCCAGTCACCGTTCCAGGCAAATCACAGAGCAGATGCGGTGGAAAAAATGGGGAAAAAAAAAATGGGGAAAAAAAATGGGAGGGGAATATTGCACTTCTGTAAGACTATTTTCAGCTATTTTGCTGTTTTCTACCAAAAGGGGAATTTTACCTAAGCAATAAAACACCATAATTTCTCCGTGATGAGCATGGCAGCAACAGGACCACTCAATCCTCAACTTTCGCACGCTGCTCCATAACTCGATCCCAAATGAACTTCCAGGACTGCTCATGTTAACTAAGGGCCAGGCTGGATTGAAAACAGAAGTTTTGAAGGCAGGGAAGCCAAAAATGCCCAAACGAAGGGTGCGGGGAGCCACAGCTCCATAGGGAATGATCATTTCCCTGTCTCCACATGCAATGGGCGGCTCGGCCCGGCCGCCTCTCCGTGGGAAACTGCCATGTGTCCCTTCAGACCGATAACGAAGTAATAATATCGGGAGAAGCCTCGAAGAGGAGTAAAGATACCGGGAAAAGTCTTTAGGAGGAGTCTGTTTTATTACTGTTCCTCAGATACCACGCAAACGTTTCCATCAATGTTACTGGTGAGGAGCAATGATGCCATCGATGCACATTACTGTGTAAGAATGGAGCAGTGGTTATTACCTGTAAATGCTGATGGCATTAAAATGGCTTAAAGAAAATATATTAAGGATAGAAATGCCCTTTACACCATTTTTTGCCTTTTTTCCCCTCTCTTTTAAAACAGATGGGAAGTTTCCTACTTCATGCTTAAATAGCGCCTCACTCTTAAAAAAATAGCGTAAAAACACATCCTTTGCAACAACTAATATTACCTGTTTTGTGCTCCAGTGACACAAAGAGACATTCATATGTAAAATATTCACTTTAATCCATTTCTTCTCATAAAAAGACAAAAAATTCTTCCAAATAAGCCAATTTGGAAGKCAAGTAAATGGATTAAAGCATCATTTTTCCGCTCTCGGGACTAAAAAGACTACAAAAAGGTACCATTTATTCGGTAAAAACTCAGGTTGAAGTTGTCCCAAAACATCCCAACAGCTTCCTGAGATGTTCTTATCCTTCTTGTAACGTGTCCTCAATGCTGAGCTCCTCGGGCTGCCAGGATAGACACCTAAACTATCACCAGCACCTCTACCCATCGCACCCAGCAGGCCCTTTGCAGAGCTGCTCTCACTATTTCCTTGCAGAAATTAAGTTATTTCCCCGCTCTTGGCTTCTATCGAGCAGCTTTACTACAGAAGTCCACCTTTTTTCCTTCAAATTTCACTTCCATTTCTTTCCTAGCCTGGCCAAAAGTCTCCCACACTATAACAGCAGCATTCCTGAATACTCTCTAACTAACTACTGCTCGTTTATTCCCAGCACACCGGGAATAACTGCTAGAAAACGAGGATCACGGGTGCGTTTTAGCCGTTTTTTAAGTGATAGTGTTAGGACGGCTGATGTTGAGAGATCTCAGGACGCGGGGACACGCACCCGTGTGCCGCTGCCGTGCATGATGTCCTCGGGCGTGTTGTAGATCTCCGTTTCCATCTGCACCGTCTGCCTCTTCTCGTGCGACACCTTCACGCGCAGGATGCGGAAATAGGAGCCGCCGAGGTCCAGCGCGATGAAGTCGCCCTTCTCTGCGGGGAGAACGGGATGCACGTGGTTAAACTGGGCCTATAAGGAGGTGGAAAGCCCAAGGATAATCTTGCTCGGGATAATAGGAAAAGACGCCGAGCGCGGGGAGGTTATTCTGCCAAAACCACCCGCAGGAGCCTTGAGCTCTCAGTGGACTTTTCTTCCCCACCATCCCAKACTCGCATGAGCCTCCAGGAGCCGTAAAAAAGCAGCAAATTCCACACAAAAAGATGGCCACGAACTTCCCGACACGCGGCAGGGGCTCATCGCCCTGGACCCGATGCCCTGATCTCGCCCCACGGCGCTGCAGCTCTTCCCTCCTTCGCAGCCTCTGTCCCCCTTGCCAAGACCAGGAGCTAAACCTCTCCCACAAGGGCCTCCTCGAGCCAAATACCTGAATACACTTTATCGTAAGAGCGTATTAATTGCGCAGCACAAGCCATTACCTCCTCTGGAAAAAGGAAGGTCAACATTGGAGCAGATGGCCCCTTTTCAGCTTAAATGCCCTAAGCAAACAGTGCCCTTCAGAGGTGTCTTCCCTGGCCGCCTGGTTACACATCAGCACCTTTGATTGCCAGCTCCTCRCAAGGGAAAAACCCTGTGAGAAAATGACCCTTTTTGGCTAAAAAGGAAGAGCAGCCCCAAAGTAAAACACAAAGTTTTCCCTAGGCAAAGCAACAGGTTTSTCTCTGGGTGTTTCAGGAGTTTAACCCAAGTAGTAGGGTTTAATCTATGTTTTCTTCTCAAAAAACAGTCGCAATTAAAACTGCTACAAACAGYGTGCGATTCCTGAAGAGTGTTTTGAGTTCATTTGAGATACTGCCCTAGGCATCTGCACAAATCCTCGCTGCTTTTTCAAAATAACTCAGAGCGAAGCAAAGAGGGGAAAAACAAACCTGCTAAGAACAACATCTCCACAGCCACCAACAAATCTTGCCCAAAGGCTCCTCGGTATGAAAGTACAGGAGCAGAAATCGGCAGCTGAACAGCAGCGTCCTTGTTTTTCCGAATAATCAACTTCCATAATAACAACCAGACACGGAGGGGAGCGCTTAGGAGGCGGAAATTGGAGAAGGGCTGGAAAAAACCCATCGGCTTCTACGGAGGGACGAGAGGCAGAGGTTGCTCTGGTTCAACAGGGTGCAGTGCATGGTCTGAAGCAAACCCTCCTTTGCACCCAGGCCGGGAAGAGGAAAAACAAAGGGGGACAGGAAAAACACTGGGATTTCACGCAAATCCCTGCCCGGAGCACTGCAGGGGTCATTTCAATATTCAACCTAACAGCTAAATTAGGGGAAATTAGCATCCCACCCCGTTAAAACGGCGGCAGCAGCAGAATCACATTGCAATTACTCAGCGTTGGGGCCACATGAAGCRGTGGCAGAGCAGGAATATCCAAGATTCCCACCTTCCAGATGGCTCCAAGTGGTGCTAAACGCCAGGCTCAGTGTCCCYGCGCCCAATAACTCCTTAGTCCTAACTCAAATGAGGCCCAAAACACATAAAAACACCTGTGTAACATGATTATAACATGGCAAGTGCTGTAAGAAGGGACTTAATCCCTTTTTACCGTTACAGGCAYCAAAACACAAGCTAACCTACCCATGCTGTACGTGGAAAGCAAACCCAGCCTTACCACTAAACAATAAACACAAAACAAGGGCAACCTTGATCCCAGGCACCAGCACAACATGTTTGGGCTTTCTGAGAGCCTTGGTGCCCACAGAGAMAGTGCAAAATCCAGCTGGAAAACGCTGGCCGAGAAATACAGAGCCGAGCGCCAGCAGCTTCCAAGCACCACCTCGAGTTCCCTCAATTCCCCCACTGGGAAAAAAAAAAAAAACGGAAAAAAGCCAGGCCGAGTCCAACTGCAAACACCTAAAAGCTTCTGTTTTCGTCAAAATTCAACCAGTGTAAATTTTGTAAATAAAYAAATAAATAAAATCCTCCCAGCRYGCAGATATTGATTGCTGGCGGGCAGCTCCCTGCACGAAGGCATCGATAGCGCACGGCCGGACAGGGCTCCTCCGCGTGACGCCGGAAAAGCCGAGTCCTCCGGCAGCTCCCGGAGCAGGGAAGGGAGGGAGGGAGGCTGGGAGGTTGTCTCCGCTCCGAAACGTCTCCCGGGCTCGCGAGGGAGCAAAGTGCTTTGTCATGCYGGGGAGAGGCCGGCTCCTTGCCCTACCTGATCCGTCGGGAATGGACCTCACGAAGGTGGGCAGCATCTTGACGGTGGCCGTGGGGTTGAAGTCCCGGGAGAGGCCGTTCTTCATCTCCCTGCGGAAGCGGGCCATGACGTCGAGCAGGGTCTCGTCGGAGAGCCGCATGGCGTACAGGTACTTGTCGATCTGGGGGGAGAGGGACGGGCACGGCGGCGTGACGGCCGCCCCGCCGCGCCGCCCTTCGGCGGGAATTCAACGGGACAGACACCGGCRGCCGCACGGATGAGGAGGCCGAGGCCTCAGCACCTCATCCTTCCGCCCCACGGGAAGCAAGGACCGAGGAAGGACGGAGCTTGTGAGCAGCCCAAGGCAAAAAAAGTGCATTTGCACATACAAAGGATTTACCACAAGGCTTTCAATGCTTTTCCAGGCTGAGAAATGATTCCCACATCCCACCCCATTTTCCCTACCCAAAGCCCCGGCAGCCAGAGGCTTAGGAGAGGCCGGACTGAGCCGAGGAGCGTCCTCCTCTCCAGYACGAACGGCCAGGTTAAACCCGGCGGCTTCTCCCTGGTGGCTTCCCAACGTGGGAACTTGCCAGCCTGCAAAAGGGGCAGTTTCACCAGTTGGCACCAGCAGGAGCGGTGCCAAGGCTTCAAAAGCCCCGCTTGGCCGGGGGCTCCTCACTCAAGACGCCCGCGGGAAAAGCCAAGGGGAAAGCGGTGCCGTCGCTCCCTGCTCCRGAACCCTGGTCCTGCCCAGGCCTTTGGGCCGGCAGCTCACGGGGACCACGGAGCTAAAGCCCTGCCCGTGTTTCGTGCCCTCGGAGAGACGGGAAGAGCCACCTCCCTTTGCACCCCGTGCCCTCTCCATGCCCAGACTGTCGCCGTCTGCTCCGCGGCTCCGGAAGCGCCGACGGCGCCTCTATCTYGGCATGACAAATCTCATCTTACGTGACAAACGCTGCCATAAAACACTCCCAGGACCTTGAGACCCACGCGACGAATGACGCCAACGAGCTACATCCCAAGGGAGCCACGGATCCCAGGGGATCCGTCACCCTGGGACTGGAGTGAGCTATGGGATACGGTGCCGGGACCGGCCTGTCCCTGCGCGCGCCGCCCGGCACAGACGCGGCGGGGAGGGACCAACCTGCCTCGGAAACAGGATCCCTCCCGCGCACGCTGCCCTTTCCCAAAAAACAGGTTTCCCTTTCTCCTGGCAGGCAGGAGGAGGGATAGTCAGGCTGGCGCCATGGCACGGAGAAGCCCTGCGGCTGTCCCCGCTGCGTCCGACACGGCTCCTTTATTCAGGAATGATTCAGGAATTCATTACGGGGCTGCCTGCACCACGTAGGCGCCCGCGGCGAGCTCAAGGGCAGGGTGTCCGTCCTCCAAGGGGCGGAAAACGGGCGGCACCCGGAGGCTCCCGCCGCGGGGCGGCAGCTGCCGGCACGGACCTGCCGGGAACAGGGTGCTGGTGCCCGCGGGAATGCYGGGATCCCTTACCCGGTGCCGGGAAGGGGATAACAGCACGGGTGCGTGCACGGAAGCAGCCCTGGATGCCATGGGCTTGCTTTGGCGGCGCGGAGCAGCAGGAAAACGCCGGCACGGAGAAGCCACAGGGCCGGAGGCCTCCCCTACCCTCGCGCTCCAGGCGCCGCACAGCGGGATGCGGGATCACCTCGGGAGTGTGAGGCCGGCGCGGAAGCAGTGCCGGGGCCGGGATGCCGCCGGGCGGGATTCCCGCCTGGGCGCAGCTCCCGGGAGCAGGTGCCACCGGCCCCTCTCCCCACGCTCATCCATCCATCCATCCATCCATCCATCCATCCATCCATCCATCCATCCCCGCAGGAGGGACACGTTTCTCCTCGGGAAGCCACGCGCAGAGGGAGGGCCCTGCCAAGGAGCCCGGCCCGCACGTAACGCCAGCCATTCCGGTGCAAAAAACAAAGCGCAGGCAGCAGGAGACGCCGCAGGGGCTAAGCCCGGGTTAACCGGGACGGGTTTTAGGCACTGGGGCGTTGGGCAGCCGTGCCGGCGCAGCCTCCGCTCCGGCCTCCCGCCGCTTACCGGCCCGCTCCAAATAGCGGCGGGAGGCTGCGGGGCCCCGSCGGCCTCCCCGGAGGCCGGCCCCGTTTCCCGGCCCGGGCCTCCTGCAGCGGGGACGGCGATAACGGCGGAGGCCGCCCGGGCCTCCCCCCGGCGCGTCCTCCTCGGGGCCAGCGCCCCGCAAATAATAAAAATGACTACAAAAAATGCAGCGTTTTCTCCCTGTTCTTTTTGCAGCGCGCAGGCCCCGGCGGATGCTCCGCTGGCCGCGGGGCCGGGCGGCGCCCCGGGGCGGGCAGGGGGGGTAAAACCGGGGCGAATCCGTCCCCCCCCTGCCCTGCCCGGCTCCCTCCTCCCCAAGCGGCCTCCCACCTTCTTGGCCTGGTCCTCCTTGAGCTCGGTGAAGTAGTAGGCGAGGAGCTGGGCGGCGATCATGGTGGCGGCGGCGGCGCGGGCCACGCAGGGATGCGGCGCAGGGCCGGGATGGGCGCGGGAGGGACGGGCCCGCAGCGCCGCCCCCGCCCCTTCCTTCCTCCCTCCCTCCCTCCCGCCCTCCTTCCTCCTCCTCCTCCTCCTCCTCCGCGGCCCGCCCCGCGCCGGGCCCGGGGGAAGGCGGCGGGAATGCCGCCCCCCGCCACGGCCCTTCCCGGCCTTTCCAACGCGGGGGTAAAAGCAGCAGGAATAATAATAAACCGCCCCCTCGCTAGGCAAGCCCGCCCTTAAACGCCTTTGAGTCGCGCTTTGGCCACGTTCCTGCTCCTGGAGCGGGCGCAGGGGGGCCGGGGCCATCTGTCATCGGGCAAAGCTCCCGCTCCAGCTGGGAATGCCGCTCTCCGGTGCTCAGGGATATAAACACAGGGGAGAGCCACCTTAGAGCCCCCCGAGGCCCTGCTTCCCTGCATAACATGGAGCCAGGCCTTGCTTGGAAGGAGAGCCCGGCTGGACCCGGCCGGAGGCAGCCCCGCGCTCCAAGGAACGCTGCGATTCCCTTGGTTCCCCTCCAGCTTCCAAGCAGGGCACGGGGCTATTTTGGGCCTCCRCGGCCGATTCCGGGAGGCCCAGGCGACTCGCGGCTATTTTGATCCCGCTCTGAGCTTATCGCCCGGGTTCCGCGGCACGGGAGCCTCGCCGCTCAGCACCCCGGGGTGCTCTTTGCAGCGGGTTCATCCATCCCACGTTTAAACGCTCTGCACCCCGAGTTTGGGGTTGTTTTCCAACGAAGGCCGCTGCCCAATTTTGATGCCCACAGTTACTCCGCGCTTCCTGCCTCCCTAAAGCCACAGCTGYGCCCTAGCCGCTTCCCTAAGCCTAGGGCAGAGCTTAGGCCCACGCTGCCAGCTCCTTCCCTTCGCAACACTCCAAAGTCCTGAGAAACAGCAAATTCCCGCTGCTTCCCGGGAAGCCGGCACTGCGGCGGTGGGAGCAGAGACGGCGGCTGCAGCAGCTCCTCCGGCCCCGCGGCCAGCGGGAACAACAAGGAGAGCGGGAGCAAGGAGAGCGGGAGCGACCCGGCGCTGTGTCCCCCTTTCCCGCCGGGCGGCCGCCACTCACCGTGCGCAGCGCGGAGCAGCGGCAGCCGGCGGCAGCGGCGTCGGGCTCCTCGGGCACGGCCCCGGCGGCTCCCCTCTCGCCGCGTCGCATCGCGGGCTGCCGGGGAGAGAGCAGCGGGGATGCGGGGAAAGGGGCGCCCCGGCCAGGGCTCCCTTTGCCCTCGCTAGGCCATACGTTAAGACCAAGACCAAAACCTGCTTTTTTGTGTGTGATTTTTGGCRTTTCACAGCCAGGAACGGGGCAGAGGGCGGCGAATTACCCCAGGGCAGCAGGGAGGGCCCCGTGGGCCAAATGCTGCCCAGCAGCAGCTCTTGGGACAGGGCCTGCGACAGCCACCCTACCTCCCTCTCCCCTCCCTTGTGGGGCTTTTCCTTGGATCTGCAACCTGTGCTTTGAAAACACCCAAAAGGGTTTTGTTCTCTTCCATTCTCCCCTCCAGAACAGTTTCCTCCGAGCGTCCTGGTTCTCTTGGGACGCTTCCCCAGTCAGCGCCAGCCTGGCAGAGGTGTCCTTGTCCCACGGGTCATTCTCCCGCTCCTTCCCTCGCCCGCCCACCCCCAAGCAGGACAAAACACCCGCAGAAGGCAGAGAAAACCTGCAGGCTCCGTGGCAAGCGGCACCGCCTCGCCGGCCGCGCTACCTGCTTCCCAGCGGCACTCGCCGACGTGCCGCCCGCTGCTCCGGAGCGCCCCCCGGATCCGCCATCCGGCTGCCCCCCGCGGCGCCGCCGGGCTCTCCCGGCAGCGTTCCGGGGCGGCGCGCGCTCCGCCGCGCGGGAAATTCCTTGGCGCTCCTCTCGGCCGGAGCGCTCGCCGGCCCGMAGCTCCAAACGCCACTTACTGCTTCTCCCCGCGCCGCCGCCTGCCGCGTTAGAGCCCCTTTGTCTGCCAGCTGTAAACAAGCTCTTCTTAATCTTTCCATAAAAACTATGCCAGTTATGCCCTCCAACAATGCAACTTCGCCGCGATGAAAGGAGGCGTTGCTGCCGCCCTAATCACGGTAGCATATCAGCTGCTTTTCAGAGTCAATTCCTTTTTGTGCAAAAGTGAATGAGCAGGCAATTATTTAAATTTCAGATGAACCAACGGGGCTCGCGACCTGCCCCGCGCGCTCCCTTGCTCTGCAAGCGCACCCTTGGGCAGYGCCAGCAACGGGCCGGGGCTTCCGCGCGGGGAGGCCACGACGCCGCTCCACGCCGCGTGAGCCCTTCAGGCGTTTCCATTTCYGCCCCCCCGCGCTCCCTCCTCTGCCCCGTGCCGTTATTTATCCCCCCTCGCTTCCAGAACGTGCTCCCAAGCCGGCGCGTGGGCGCCCGTGGGAGCTGCCCCTTCCTCGCCCCGTTAACCGCTCGCGCCCCGGGGACCTCCCGGGCGCCCCGGCCTCGCTCCAGCGGCACCAAACAAGGAACAGCAACTATATATATATATGTATTTCTAAATATATTTAGATATTTTTGTGTAAATATATATATAAAAACCAAAAACATGCAAAAAAATCAGGAGTACGTTGGCATTCCCATCCCAGGCAAGCGCAACCCGTCGCCTTTCAATCACCCRACGCAACAGGAAAGGTGAGAGCAGGAAAATCATTAAAGAGATTTTTGGTGCTTACAAGTTCTGCTGATGCCCAGCCCCAAGGCCAGCAGTCACTGCCCAGAACGAAGCACGAGGATGATTTTTGTCTTGGCAGCACCTCCGCTTTGCCCCCAAACTTCTCRCCGCTGATCCGCTAATCCGGTATATTATCCACTTCCCAAGAAAGGGGATTAGGGTAATCGGGATTTACACATGATCCTCTATTTACTTTTTGGACTTGGTCAAAGCGACCAAGAGTTGGTCCTCGGTGAGCTGCTGGATTACAGGCCAGGCTCGGGTGCTGTCCCAGCCTACAGCCACCAAAGGGCTGCAGGTAACTGTGCCCTTTGTGACTGTCTATCGGGAGTTAAACCCGAACCTTAGCACTTTCCCCCAGCAATACCTCTCTCACAGCTGTGGCTTACAGCTCTTTGAACTGTCTGTGTCAAACGTGCAACCTAAGGAAACGAAATCCAAACATCTGCAGAAAAAGCCATCCCTGTCCCCAAGGGCAACCCTGCTAYGTGCGAGCAGTACCGAACATTGGCTGGAAGACCTTCCAAACACACCAAAGTGAAACGCCACAAAGATATCTGCATCAGGAACACACAAATAAATAGATYTTTTTAAAAAGAAGGGTCCCTGGAATGTCCCTGTTCCCCAGATCCTGAGGTCCAACACAAGGCACAACTTAACCTGCCCAGTCCCAGGAAAAATCCGGTCCCAGGGAACTCTGCCTCCACGCCTGGCAAGCTTCATTTTCCAAGGCTCTACAGAATCCAAAATACAAAGAAAACGTATTAAGCAGCTTGGCCAACAGCAGGAAAACAGCAGATGTGGCACAAACCCTCGGCGTGTCCCTTGCGCTTGAGGAAACCCCTCAGGATCGAGTYGCTTCCAGCGGGTGCCCTTCACCCGTCCCGCGTCCCCGACGCGCCCGGAGCCGTCGACACGATGCTTTTGGAAGCTCCAGAGGGGTCTGTAGCTGCAAACCTGGAAGCTGCCGTTGCTAAATCCAAGTCTGTCCACCTTACTTCAGATTATTATATACACCCAGCTGCTTATTCCCTCYTGGTTTTGACCCATCTAGGCTTAAGGCGCGCTCGCACAGGTTGTATTTTCCATTTTGTACAAGTGAGCCTGGCATCTTTGAAACAACAAGGAGATAAGCAAGGAAAACCGCAAGGAGAAACGAGGTGACTGTTTTACACAACCGTTTTGCAGCCCAGAGACGAACACTTAGGAAACTCTTGGTACTTCCAGCACGGGAGGAGCAGACTCTGTAGCTGCTCTATGTCCTTTCTCACCCCCAGAAGAGAAGCAGCGGCCGCAGACAGAGTCCACCCAGCACGAGCTTACATTTCTGCACACACAAACGCACTAGCACGTTGTGGCACAAGCTGTTATTTTGTGAACTCACCTTTTCTTTAATTTATTTTTAAATTCATTACTCGCGCCCTTGGGGAAATGCCCCATTCCAATACACTTGTACCCGGGCGTAGCAGAGGGAAAAAAGCATCACTGGCCAGAGCTCGTTAATTTAGTTTAGCTGCAGATTTATTGTGAAGTCTGCGAAGCGCTGAGGGAACATGTTGGCTGGATGCATGCAACACTAGGATCTTAATATCCCTAAAGGCAGGGACTAAACCCCCCAAAGCCTAAGAAACCGGGCGATAAACTCAATTGTGGGGCAGCAACTTAAGCCGCTGCAAGAAGATATGCTGGACTTTATTTTTTTAAGTCCTCATGTGCACTAGGTATGAGGTGCAGGTAGCTTGCAGCATCCGTAACGCCGGCAGAAACCTTGAGCCCAGTCACCAMGGGGCAAAAGAAAAGCTGTTGAGCCCAAACCCAGCCTTTCCTGAGCACAGGGCCGACCCCACCGCGTGCCCTCAGTTCTCCCCGGCCTGGCGCAGCCGTTTCGCCACGGCCGTGATGAGCGCGGCTCCCTTGCCGCTCCCGTCCTCGGAGAGCATGAAGGTCACATCGCACTGCGGCGCCAGCTCCTGCACCGTCTCCCGCAGCACCCTGGAAAAGCTGCAAGGGAAAGGAGAGGGGAAGACCCTTCTAGCACCCTCTTCTGGTTCGAGATCGTTTGTACTCCTTTATTGCCAACAGAAACCTCAGGCGCTGCCTTCCTCTGGTGCTCCCTCTCCTTCCTTTCTTTCCTTTGCCTTTTTTCCCTYCCTCTTCCTTTCCGTGCTACATCAGATTTTAATCCCTATTTCTCCACCTTGATTTTTTTGAGCGCTTTTCCAGCAGGCCCTTTGCTTTTCGAGACCACAAGGAGGTCTCTTCCCCCAGCTCAACAGCTCGGGGTGATCAACTCAACTGTGGGGCTTGACTCAGCAAACACAGACCCAACTACAAACACCCAGCAAGGCTTCCTGTGTGAAAAGCCTGCATCCATTTAGGATCCCCAGACATTGCAGAAACCCCCCAAAAAAATGGAAATAAATATATATATTAAAAGAATAGGTTTGCTAAGCCCTTCCGGAGAATTAGAGCCTCCCTGAGCAAAGCGCAGGGAAGCGGGAGAGCCGGGATGCATGGAGATACAGTGCAAAGGCCAAGGCACACGGGGACTCACTGCGGATGGAGCTTGTAGAGCGTGCCGTCCACGCCGACGGTGACCTCCAGGCGCTGCATGCCCTGGTCTTCCCTCCTCTTGTCGAGGAGGGCGGCGAGGCCGGCGCCGCAGAGGCGGGCGGCGCGCGTGGACACGGCGCCGCACACCTCCTTCACCACGATGCTGTCCTCGCACGTGCCGTCCAGGCCCAGCTGCTGCAGGATGCGCCGCACCTGCAGCAGCGCCAGCCGGTCGCTGCCGGAGGGAAGGCCGTGACGGGAAGCTCCTCGGAGGCTCCCGAGGGACCCTGACCACGGCTCCGGCGCCCTCCGTCCGGAGCATGAAACCAAGTTCCGCGCGGAGGCTGGAGCTGAAACGCGCTCCTGGCTGCATTGCCAGAAGGCACAAGGGACAGCTCGGCCCCTCGCTCCCAAAGTTGTGCCACATCATCCACCTTAATGGGTTATTTTGGACCTAAAGGGCTCCATCTGGAGGTGCTACCTTCACAAATCCCCCAGGGGCTTCAAGCAGCCTGGAAGACTCTGGCCAACGTGCAGAGATGCGCAGCAAAGCCCATGTTCCTCAGATGTATAAATACCATTGGCCTCACAGAATAATAACCACCCTTTTAAGCCCCTTAGGAAAGATCTCAAATAGAGAAATGCTGGATTCTAAGACATCCACAATAAAACAGCCAAATGGCAGTGCTAATTTATATAATTACAGAATCATTCCAGGACTTGCACGGTTCCTTGGTTATTCCTGGGTTTTGTTTTGTCAGGTCTTCCCATCCCTCTTCCCCCACCACCGAGAGGGAAACTATAACAGACCTCCTGCGAGAGCAAAGGCTCTGCAGATCTGTAAAAACTTATTTCCTAGAGGTTCTGGAACAACTTGAGGATTCAAAGCACGTAGATCCAATTAACAACTTTACCTCTCAATCTGAGACAGGAATTTTGTTTCAAAGATGCCTCTCTTCCTCAGTGATTCCGAGATCTGCCCTCTGAACAGCAGGCCTTGTGTGGTCAAGTCGATCACAATTTGCCTCACTATTTCCCCTAGATACATTCCGCTCGTCATCTTTTCATACCTGTAGTGAAAAAAATGCTTCAAAGTTAGCTCTGTTTAACATAAGCAGTGGCAGACACCCAGTAACAGCCTGAAAAGCAGCCAAAACTGCATCAACCATCAGAAAAACCTGCTGCAGGACCTGCCGAAAGGAGGACCGTGTCGTTACCTCTGCTTGCCTGGATTTAGGGAACCTTCGTCCACTTCTCGATCATACTCGGTTCTGATGTCGTCGATGCAGCCGTTGTCACCAAAGCCCCCCCACTCTGTGTTGATGCACATTTTCCCTTCGTTGCCCTCCACGGCCTCGATGTTTTTCATGTCTTCCATGTAGCACACGTTGCTGCCCGTTCCTAGGGGGAAGCAACAGGGCTTCAGGCAGAGAAGCGAAGCAGCAGCTGAAACGTACGGAAGACCTTCGCGGTGAAGCAGCTCTTCTCCAGAGCCCAAATTCCAAAAGGATCCATGGATCTTACAGAAGATGGCAGCTTCACCATGTGGGTTGCAAGCTGCTACAACAGAGATGTCCCAATGAGATGGGTCTTGGACAAAAATTTCCAAGAGCAGAGAACAGGCAGCTCTCTGTTACCAGCACAGGTGACACCACGTTCCCACCTAAATACCATACAAACCTGCCAAGATCTCCAAGGAGCACCACATGCCACGTGGCAGGTAGGGGATTTGCAAGAGATTTGTTTTCCAAATGCTGAGACGGGGGCCCAAGCCCAACACCTGCACCCAGGCTTTTATTTGACRGTGTTTGCTTCACCGATGCTGTACCTGCAATGAGGCCAATCTCGCACTTCGGGTCCTCGTAGCCACAGGTCATCATCGTCCCCACAGTGTCATTCACCACTGCCACAATGTCCAAGTCAAACTCCTGAAACGTAAGTCACGTTCARTAGGAAGGAAGGGTGAGCGTGCATTGAAAGCATGCAGCTTGAAATACACACATTTATGCCATAAATAGAGAAAGGAAAAAACAATTGCTCACATTCCTCCTCTTGATGGCTTCCCTTAGCATATCGACAACGTCTTCCCCCTCACAATCCGTTGCCTTAAAACCTTTCGTCCAACCTACGAGCGTTCCCTAAAACAGAAGAAGAAAATCTGCAAACGTAGAGGAGGAAGACTGCGCCCCTCAGACATGATAAATTCTTCTTCTTTTTTCCCTTTCYGTGTCTTTCTCTGTCCTTTCTCCTCCCCAAAACAAGCGTTTCGCTGGCCAAAAAGGCAGGTTATTGCACGTGCCTGGTGCACAGAGCGTGTCAGTGTGTGTATGACTCGAGCTGGGCTTACGTGCCTCTTTCTCAGGGCCTACCCAAAGCTCGCTCCTCCTTTGGCAAACTTGGCACTTCCCCATCTCCCTCCCTTCTGCACGACCAGCCACAGCMCCATTTCCAGGGGTCAGAAACTGCCAAAACTGCATTTGCTCTAAACCGAGTCCCAAGCCCAGAAGTTGCTGTAAAATTCAACAGGACTTSAGAACATTTTTATATAATTGCAGTCTCTCATCGCTCCAAGCACCCTACATATTTGACCAGATTAGGCAGAACCCCTTTTTCTTCCTACGCCCTTCAGAAAGGCAAAGTAAATAATTTTTTTTTAATTTATCTGAGTGGATTTTTTTTAATTTATTTATCTGAGTGATTTTTTTTTTAATTCACTGGGATCCCTCAGAAAGCTGCTCATGCCCAATCAMAGGGAGAGGTCCAACCTCTCCCTGCTGTGAATAAGGGAGCTCAGTTCTGCCCACTGGCACTCCACAAAAAGAAACCCATGTAGTGGGAAAGTTGCACAGCGCTGCAGCACAGCGAGGAGAATAGGCAGGGACTGTGGCTGAGAAGGGACAAGGAGAGGACTGTTCTCCCTTGGCATTACAGAGAAGGGATCTCTATGTAATCTATCAGACCTTGAAAAAAAAAAAAAAAACTGCTTGGAGGAAAACATTTAGGGAGGGAGAAAGCTTTTTCCTCCAAAACAAGTCAAGCTTTTGCTTCCCAAACAAGTCACCCTTGCCCAAAACCGTGTCATTTGCCACKCAGCCGCAGAGCTGCCAGATCCCTTGCCCTGCTTTGGGCAGCCTGCCCCTGTTTTGGCCCTTACCTTGTCAATGCTGGCTTGCCTGCAGGGGAAGGAGAAGGTGAAGCCCAGAGGCAGCCGGGCGCCTTTGATCCCCATGTACTCCAGGAATTCTGCTATGCACTGCACAATGTGGTCAAAGAGCTGCAGGGGCAGAGAAAGGAGAAAGAAATAAAAGTGCAGACCTCGCAGGCACTCCCATGGCTGGACTCCTGGCTGAATCAGGTCAACTCGYGAGAAGTTACCTCTTCCCCTGTCCCTTGCATGATCTCCAAAGGAATGGCAAAGATTTTGTTGTACATCCGCACCGATTTCCTCCTCCCGCTTCTAATTTTGACCAGCAGAACCCTGAAATTGGTGCCGCCGAGATCGAGGGCGAGGAACTTTCCTCTCTCTGGAAGAGAAGGCAGCATCTCGTTTTGGTGCTTCTGGGGGCCTGGCCGCGACTCTGAATGCCACAGGTCTCCGAAAAACACTATCCGAGCCAGTGATAACACGCTGCCCCATTATTCTGCTAGGAAAGGGGGTGAGTGCCAGGTGGCTAATTCCACAGGAAGAGCCAGTTTGCGGGCAGACACCTCCCTGGCCTTTCCCAGGAATCTCCCAGGTGCAACGCTCCCCGCTCAGCCCTCACCTGTCCCATCCGGCGTGCCGCAGACGTACGTGGGCAGCATCTTCACGGTGGCCGTGCCCTGCATGTCCCTCCTCAGCCCGCGCTCCAGCTCCCTCCTCATCTTGCCCTTCACTTGCCGGAGGGCGTGCGGGGAGAGGCGGAAGGGCGCGAGGACGGCGTCGAGGCGCCGGCGCCGCTCGGCCAGCCGCCGCGCCACCGCCGTGACCATGGCGGCGCCGCGGGTGCTGCCGCTCGTCGAGAGCAGGAAGCGCACGTCGCAGGTGGGCACCAGCCTCCTCACCACCTTGTGCAGGCGCTTCGCGTACCTAGGGCRGCGGAAAAGCCTCCTGAGGTGCCTGCAGGCGGCTCAGACGTGATCYGGCCTCGCACGCGGGTCTCCAGTTGGGGGCACAAAGCCGCAGGCAGCAGAGCAGCCTGAGGCACGAGTGCGACATTCCCCACCTCTGGATGCCCTGCAGGGTGGTCTTGCTCCTAGCAGGAATGAGCCAACACTGCTAGGGAAGCGTGAGTGCGCAGGAGGATGGCGCTGGAGAGGGGCCAAGCAGGAGCAGGCCAAGGAAAGTCAGAGTTGGAGAATCACGCGCTTGGCCTCCCTCCACATTTGGGAGAAATTTGTGTACGTGCCCAAAAACCCAAGAATTAAAGGAAATGTAAGTGCCCGGGGGGCAGTCCCGCAAGGAGGCACTTGCTCCTGAGCCAGCAAGTGAAACCAGGCCCGGGTTACCCTCCACGCTCCCGCCACATCCYGCTCCCACCCCGCACCAGACCAGGGGCAGCTTCTCCTCAGAAGCTGCACACAGGTGCAGGCGGGGGCTAAAAGCAGCCCCACACGGCCAGGAGCTGCCCACRGGGCTCCTTACTGGGGGTGGGCTTTGTAGAGGGTGCCGTCGATGCCCACGGTGGTGCGCAGCCGCAGCGCTTTCCTGTTGTCCCGCAGGCGCGCGAGGATGGCAGCGAGGGCCGCGGCGCAGAGGTTGGCGGAGCGGAAGGAAACGATGGTGCAGACGTGCTGGACAGCAAGGCAGTCCTCCTCCGAGGGAAAGAGGTTCAGCTCCGTGAGGATCTCTTTGGTGTTGCTCAGACCTTCCTTATACCTGCCCCAGAACACAGGAATGAGTCGGTCAAYGCAAGGAAACGAGGCCACACACAAATCAGGAAGAGACGCGGAGCTACGAGGGAAATACAGGAATCCTCCCTGGAATACCAGCAAGGGGATCGCTCTGGAAAGCGGCAGGATTGGGCACGAGATGAGCCTGCACCCTCAAAGCAAGGCAAGCRCTGCCACATCCCAGAAGCTGCAACCCGCAGAAAGCCTCCCGGGTGCTCAGGTTTCCAAAGGAATCATTTAAACAAGTTATGACTCTGGTGGCTAATAGTACATTTGCTACCATGGGACTTAGCTAAAGCTTCATCTTTCATCAAGTCTTGCTTAAGGAAAGATAGCCTGTCTCCAAGATAAAAGCAAAACCAGATCAACCAGTCTGGGATTGATTCCAATTGATTCAWTACAGGTTGTAATGAAATTATTMTTATTATCATAAGCAGTGCTGATGATAAGAGACTAAAGCCGCTCTCCACGGGCATGCTGCAGCTCTTACCTCTCCATTGCAGCCACATGTTTCATTTCRATCTTGCCCTTAGTACACAGAGCTGTTGACACCTTCCCATTGAAGAGCAGACCTTCCTTTGTCATCTTGACAAGAATGAGTCTTACAAGTTCACCCAGGTGCAGGCTGCTAATCATCTTCTCAAACCTGCAACGAAGCATAGAGATCATCTAGGCTCCCATCTCTCTGCTTGCCAGAGGCCTCGTGTAGTCAAGAACGAGCACTTTACGTTCTTACACATGTCAAATGTAGTAATAAGACAAATAAATAAATAAATAAACCCTACAAAAGGTGCTCGGGAGCTAAGCTGTGGGTGTTACGTCTTCCCGAGGTGCTGGGACCCAAGTGCAGCCCCTCAGGGATGTGATTAAGAAGGTCCAGGTTGGGCAAGACCAAGTCAGGTCCTGCCCAGGACCAAGTCAGCTCAGGCTCATCCAACCCCACTGCCCRAGGGGCTCCCGACCCACCCTAGAAACCAACCCCTGAAGCCCTGAAAGTGCCCAACGGGAGAAGCCRCTCACAGCTGCTTGCCGGGATTGAGCGAGCCCTGGTCGAGCTCGCGGTCGAACTCGGTGCGGATRTCCTCGAGCGCGCCGTCGTCGCCGAAGGCGCCCCACTCCGTGTTGACGCACATGCGGCCCTCGTCGCCCTCCACCAGCTCGATGTGCCGCAGCTCCTCCATGTAGCAGGCGTTGGTGCCCGTGCCTGCGCCCGTGGACGCCGGCGCGGAGAAGTCACGCGGTTAATTTTAAGTAATCGCTTTGYGTTGAGAGAAGGGACCAGAAGCTGGCCTAAGGCTTGGCTCATTTATTTATTTATTTATTTTAAATGTGCATCTGTGGAGCTTAGRAAAAGCCACCACAGTGCTGTGAAGCAGCAAGTTATGGAAAGAGTAGCTGATCTTTACTGCGAGAGGTGAGAGAAATTCAGCATTCTCTGCAGAGAGACACTAATTTTCTAAGTAGTTGAGAACAAACTTCAAGAAATCAGAACAAACTTCTCTGACTGCTTAGAAAATTAGTGTCTCTCTGTGTTGCTCTGAATCAGGTCCCAACAAGATAGGAAGTTAATACTTCTAATACCTTCATACTTGAAGGTAGCGTGATCAGCACAGGATCAGCATAGGATCACACACAGGATTGCAAGCCTTGGGGCTTGCCATTCTAAGCGCTGTTTTACTCCATGTGAGGAAAAGGAAAAGAAAGAAAATAATTAGTGAACGGAACACGTTACCGATTATAAGTCCAACTTCACAGCGYGGGTCTTCATATCCGCAAGTCATCATGGTTCCCACGGTGTCATTGACGAGCGCCAGGACATCTACATCGATGCCCTGAGGGCGTGGAGGTGAGGGGTTAATATCAGAGCAGAAAACGGCACATTTGCATCCTTACTACAGTGCTGACAAGATACAGAGTGACGCTTTGTGCGTCTTAGACGATGTTGCCAAGGGTATAGAGCCTGSAAATACTTTCCAAAATACTGAAACAATGTTATTCCAAGAAATAGGCTACCTAAAGGTTTAGCCATGTCTATTTATGATTTTCCAAGCTGRGCAGCCCTGGCGGAGCCGTGTCAGCCCCTTGTTGCCGGATGCCCTTGGAGGACGGCCGACAATTCCCAGACGTCCCATGCACCAGGCGCGGCTCTCCCGCTCAGGAAGGAGGGCCGAGGGCTCTTCACTGGGCTCCGGGAAGGAACAAGACTTGCCTTGTGCTTCTCGAGGGCCTTGCGCAGGGCGCTCACCACGTCCGTGTCCTGCACGCCCCGGACCTTGAAGTGTTTTGTCCAGCTGAGCAGCACCCCCTGCAAAGCGACAGTCCGAAAAGCTCATCACCAACTAACAACAGGAACGCTCAGTCCTTTCAGGACGGAGCCTCAAGCACAGATTCCCTGCAAATATTATAGGAGGGGAGAACAAGAGGCCACAAAACATTCGCAATGAGCCCTTCACCGCCCCCATGCAGCCTCCCAAACGCTCAGCTACAGCTCTCTCCTGYTCAGGAGGAACTGTAGAGATACGGAACGTGAAAAAAAAGCCAAGCCAAGAAAACACCACACACGCTCTAAGACACCAAAGGACGTGTTTCAAGTCYTACAGCCTTCCTACAGGATATGCGATTACAACGGAGCTGGGTACTGATAAGTAAGAGCAGCTTTAACTTAAAGACCCTGTTGCCTTGAGATATCATGAGTGAAGGGGGGTGTCCTGTCCCACTCGGGGAGCCGTGCAAAGGTTCCCCCATACCATTGTGCATTCAGGCTCCTTAAGCAGCAAATTTTCCCCCCCTTTTTTTTTTTTTTTTTTGCATCTTACCTCTTCGAGCTTGGTCTGCCTGCACGGGAAAGAAAAGGTAAAGCCAAGGGGCAGCTTCTTATGCGTGAGGTTCCTGGACTCCATGAAGTCCAGCAGGCAGCCGGCGACGTAGTCGAAGAGCTGCAGGAAGGAGGAGGGAGAGGGCGGGTGAGGCCGTGCCCGGCGCGCGGCTCCGCGCCGGAGCGGCTCCGCGGATCCCACCTCGGCTCCGCTGCCCTGGAGGACCTCCGGYGGTGTGGGGTAGTACTGGCTCTCCAGCTGGCAGCTCTGCTTCCCATCCTGGGACACCTTCACCCGGAGGGCGCGGAACTGGGAGCCGCCCAGGTCCACGGCGAGGAAGTCGCCCTTCTCTGCAAGGCGAGGGATAAGGAGCCGTGAGGACAGGGGCCGAGGCAGAGTGTGGATGCCGCGCGGGAACGTGGCCAYGGAGAGGGGTTGCAGCCCCCCATAGATCCGTGACTCGAGCAGCAGCGCTCCCGGCTCCAACACGGCCTCCGCCAGCAGGGCCTCGGCAGCCTGGCCTCCCTGCTCCCATAAAACCATTATCTCCCCATCCCACGCGCCCACGGAGCGGCCCTGCCCCAAAGGCCACGTGCTGGCAGGCACCTGCCCTTGAGCAATCTTTGGCCCGAGGTACAAACACCTGACTAAGGTGATAAATGGTTTTTTTTTTTTTAATAAACGAAAAAAAGAAAAAAAGGGGGGATCCTGGAAGGAAAGCAGGAAATTCCACCTGGAATACTGTGGCCAGAAGTCACCAAGGCAAGGTGACAAACTGGGTTACTCAGGAAACTATGATATTYGCCAGGTCATTAATCCTTAAAYGATTAAAATGGAGGATGCTCCGTAGGGGTTATTCCAGGCACTGGAAAACCGGGCAGGTCACCGCTACTGCAGCTGGCAAAAGCCTGGCTGGAAATGCTTAAACTTGGCCCACGTTTGGGCTGGAATCACAGTGGCCAATAAGTAACTCACACYGAGAGCACAAAAATAGAAAAAAAAAAATCGATTTGCTCCGCTGCACTGCGGCCTCTGGGCTGCAGGGGCTGCCCTTGCCGCGTCCGCGACGCCGGCAGGGATAATCCCTGTGGAATCAAAGCGGGCCCTCGGCTCCCAGGAGCCCGGTGGGGGCCACTCACCGGATCCGTCGGGCAGCGAGCGCACGAAGGAGGGCAGCATCTTGACGGCAGCCGTGGGGTTGGTGTCGCGGCCCAGGCCCTTGGCCATCTCGGCCTGGAAGCGAGCCATGAYGTCCAGCAGGGCATCGTCGGAGAGGCGCAGCTGGTACAAGTACCTGTCGACCTGGAGCAGGGCGTTACGCGGGACGCCGCCGCCCTCCGGGCCCCGCTACGAGCCCCAGCAGGCTGCTCGTCGGCCGCCTTGGCTCAGCAAAGCTGAGCTCGGAAGCATCTCGAGCTGCTGAGAAGCTGATGCTCTGATTTGGAACCAGAAGATGCGGCCAGGACCTGAGTGTGCCAACCACGACCTGAGAACAGCCCTGAGAACATCCCTGAGAACCTCCCTTCAGCTCCCGCACGGTAACCTCACCAGCATGCCAGGCTGAGCTTAGAGCCCATTTCCGCCCCCACGCCTGCCCTGCCCGCTGTGATTTTAGCACTAAACCTGGAAAATATTTCGGGGTGCCCCCAGCACCCCCTCTGAAGGCTACGTAACACGCAGCAAGCTCAAAAGCCAGTGGGGTTCGAAGGGGATCCGAAGCAGCGGTGCGGTGGTGCTCATTCCTGCGTCTGCCGAGGTCGCAGTCAGCTCTCTGCTTCCATAAAAACCGCCCTGTCCGCAGGCGGAGAAGGAGCGGTCCGCTCCGAAGCGCTCGATAAGCCGGAGCCCTCCCCAGTCTCCAGCCGGTTTTATGGCCGGAGCAAGGCCCTGCCAACACCACCTTTGACCTGCGGCACCAGCACCGGCGGCAGAAGCCCCTCGGGAACAAGCTGTTCCCCTTGGGAGCAATGGCATGGGAAGGAAAYCCCTGGGGCCGCTCCGGGAAGGGCCGTGGCGGAGCCGGCAGCAGCCGCGAGGACCTTGGATCTCCCACGTGGCTGCGGAAAAATCCGCTGGAAAACACACGGACAGGGCTGGGTAGGGACAACGTGTCCCCCAAGGCCTCGATGGAGAGGCCAGGAGAAGGAAACACCCCCAGGACACGGCTGGAAAGCAGAGGGCTTGCCACCCAGAAAGCCCCAGGGATTTTGTCACGGACAAACAGCAGAGACTTGGTGCTCGGGTCTCCCGCACCGACAGCTTAAGATCGGGACCATCGTGGACTTTTCCACCTCTAATTCAGGCTCTTATCAATAGATTTCAGCCTTCATGCAGGCCAGACACGAAGAGGGGAAGCAGAGGGGAGGCAGATGAGCACGTGAGTGAACCACATTCCCGCTCAGCTTCAAACCCACCGTCCTTCCCAGCACACTCGGCAAGGGCTTCCCTGCTGCACTCGGCTCATCTGAAAGCCTTAGCCCTGGCATTCCTTACAGGAGATCATTTACTCCATCGCCAGGAGAGAGCTTCCAACCGTGCAGGAAAAAACCCACCAGCCAGACCTATTTTCACAGATTTCACACTGTACTTTCACTGCAGACCCCCAAGTGCCCTCCAGGAACCAAGTTCTGGCCAAAACAGGAATCTCTGCTACCTCTGTGTCTTACCCACCTTTTTTATTTGATCTTCTTTTAGCTTTGTAAAATAAAACGCCAGCAAGTGGACAGCAAACATTTCCTCGGCGCTGACGGGCGTACCGCTGGGGACAGAGCTGCCGCGCGGCTCCGAAGCAACAGGTCCTTAACTCGCCGGCTCGGAGCTACAGAGACGTCAGCTGAGGCATTTCCTCCAGGGCGAGATGGGCAGAGTTCCTGGGAAATTGAGTCCCGGGATAAATCCACGCCGCGCATTGGTTCAATGATTAAACCCCAGTCCCTCCGCGTCGCCCCCGCCACCAAGGCCAAGTCCCTCCCTCGCCGGCGCCTGGAGAGCTGCCAAGCCGAAGGGGGGAAAATCCATGGAGTCCCTGCCCCACCTGGGAACGGCTCCCACCCCACAGCGAGCCCAGCCTCGTCCTGCACCTTCCCTGGGGCAAAAGCCACGCAGGGACCCCCATAATCACCTCCTGCACAACCTCCCCGGGAGCCCGGGCATGGATGAGGCTCCTGTCTCCACTCCCGAGGACCATTCCGGACCCAGGCAGCTCCTCAGGTTGCCAAAGCTAGGGAGGGGCCAGAGCTACCCGGCCGCAAACGGCTCCGATAGCGGAGCGTGCTACTGAGGAGCGCACACGCCGACAGCAAGGGCTGCTTCCCTGCGCCAGGGCCGCAGCCGCCGCAGCCTTTAGCTGTTACTCACCAATACTCATTCCTTGAAAAGCATTTCCAGGGTTTTGGGCAACAGCCTCGTGCATTAGAGGCACCTTGTCCCGAGATGAGGACCCAACCGCCCCGTGGGGCAGAGAGGGGCCTCCGGCTGCAGCAGGGCAGAGCCCGGAGCAGACCGGTGGCTCTCACGCTATGGCGAAGGCTGCTCACCACGCTGAGCTCTGCGACGGGCAGCTTTAGCCACAGGCACAAAACAACACTTGAGCTCGGCTTGGCAGCGCTCTCGGGAGGGCTCTAGCCCGCTCTGGCAGCTACGCTGCAAAAAGACAAAGCACCACGATGAGGAGGAGCTGGCTGAAGAGCAGCGGCGGCCACGGGCCACGCATCCGCAGCCGCCCAGGAGCTGAGGGCAGGGAAGAGCGGCGCCTCTGCAGGGACAAATCCGACCCTCTGCCAGGGAAGGTCTCCGTTTGTCTTGTGGCCTCGTGCCAGGAATGAGCGGCTCCGTTGGTTCTCTRGTCCCTTGAAGCAAGAAAAGCAGGAGTTAAACAGGGCGGCCCAACGGTCCAGAAATAGGGCTGGTTCTAAAATTAGGCTGTTCRAGAGGAAGGGGGGACCCACCAGCCCCAGAGCACGGTTCACTTCTCCTGCATTCATCTTTTAACAACTGCTGGCTGGCCAAGGCTCTTCCCTCATTGTTTACCCAGCCCATCCGAGCCCTCGGCCAGCCGCACGGAAAGCGGCACCTTCCCAGCCCCATCCCACCGCGATCCGGAGCTCATTGTGCCTCTAATGCAGCAGATTTACGCTCCATTCTGTGCTCGCTTCCTAACAGCTGCTGCCACAAAAGGGTCCCAAAGATCTCGGTGTTAGAGAGCAGGCCAGGAGCTCTGCTAAATACCTGACACCAGATCTGCTGCATGACTCCTCTGCTCATCCCTGCCGCATCCCAGCTCCAGCCAGGCTGCTGTGCGAGGAGGGACAGGACATTAGCACATCCCCACACACAGCTCAGCGCACTAAGAACCCAACTGCCAAATATATTAAGGTTATTTTGTGCTTGCTCTGGCCAGCGCAGGGGAAATAAAGATCCTGGTCTGGGATCTTTATGGTTGGACTCCATGATCTTAAAGGTCTTTTCCAATCGTTATGATTCTATGATCTGTGAACGGAGCAGCTCCTCTTGCCTGCAGCTTGGAGGTGCGAGGAAATATTTTCCCCTCTTTTTAGAGCTGCATCCATACGAGTGGGGCACGAGCCCTCCCTTTTGGCCAACCAAGTTACAATACCTTCCTTCCCACTTCCTTCACCTGCGCTTCTCGCTCCAGGTCTCTCCACTATTTGCACAAGGGCAGTGCTGGTGGGGTCCCTCTGCCTCCTTTGCACTCACAGGCCTGGAAAGAAACTCACAGCTGTAAGGGGAAAATTCAGGCAAACACCTATGAGGGCATCAGCTGAACGTGGTGCTGTACCAGGGAGGGTTATGGAAAAGAGGGAATCTTGCTGTGGGGATTCTCTTGCTGAGAAACGCAGCTTTTTCAGGGGCTATTAGAGGGATCAAATGCACCCCACGGGTTCAGTGGGGCAGCCCCACGACGACAGCCGCCCCAGCAGCTCAGGGGAAGAGCCAACCATAGAATGGAATCATAGACTCATAGAATGCCCAAGGTAGGAAGGGACCTCAGAGGTCATCGAGTCCAACCCCCCTGCWCACGCAGGGTCACCTAGAGCACGKGGCACAGGGCTGCGTCCAAGCGGGTTTTAAAGACCTCCAAAGAAGGAGACTTCTTCTCAACGCTCACCCAAAGCCAGCGTGGGAGCGCCTGAGCAAACTCCAGGGCCCTTGCAGCAGTCACTATGGAGTCCCTATAGAAACAAGCAGCCCGCTAAGCTCGAGGGCTAATCTCAGCAAAGAGCGCTCGCGCTCGCCGAGCTCTTCCGCTGCAAGGCGGCTCGCTGCTCAAACACAAGCCCAGGGGCTCCCGTGGCRGAGCGCAAATTAAACCGCAAATTTAGAGAGGTGCAAAGGTCGAGCCGGGAGCACGCGGTCCAGAAGGTGACTTGGCAGATTTGTAACACAGGTGCTTGGTTTTCCTCGGGAGAGGCTTTGCAGGAGACGCCTCTGAAAATCCCCCCTCCCTCCCACCGGTCTGGCRCTGGAGGCAGCAGGACATCCCGGGGACCAGCAACGTTTGTGTCTTGCTCGCAGTTTTGTAAATAACAGGGAAGGAGGATATGAAACTCACTGGGAACAGGCGCTAAAAATCCAAGGTGTTCACCCTGCTGCAGGATGGTAACAGCAGCTTAAAGTACCGATGCTGTGAGGAAGGTGAAGGGTATTTCGCTCTGCAGAGGCATGTTGGACCATTCTAGAAACTGAGATACTGGATACGGTGAAACTGCACGTGGTTTCACATCAACACAAGCAGTATCTGCAGACTGCTGTAACCAACCACCGTGGCTGCACATAGGCTCCCCTTCATGCGGCCACAGCAACACATCCCACTGCCAAACCCCATTCTGGTGAGCGAGTGAGTGCAACAGTTTCAGCAGCCCACTCCTTTCACTCCTCAATTGTTGCGTTGACATAATTCAGCATTCAGGGACTGCAWCAGAAGACCCCAAAGAAGTGGGTTTGCCAGGAACTTACCTCTAACAAATTAAGCCCTCCTCCATGTGCTGAGCACGTACATTTGTGCTAAGCACCATAAAGCGCAGAGGTGAGGACAGCAGAGAAACAGATAGAGCACCTTCCCAAAGTCACATCCAAAAATYAAAACAAAGAAACAAAACCCATCGCTTTGTCTCTATCTACGTGATGAGGATTTCCTAGGAGAAGGAAAACAATCTCAAGAGCAAGGAAAGCTCTCACTTTTCTTTACTAATTACCTTCAGATGACAGAACTGGAATTCACCCAAACATTCCTCTGATCAGAATTTCATCGTGCCACAGAGCATTACCACAAATACTTGGTCTCCTTTCCACAAGACACAAAGGTTGGAGCCCCAGGACTCCTGTCCCCGCTCTTAACCCCATTTCCCGTCAGCTGCTTCGCTACCGGTTCGTTATCTGTTAAACTCTGCCCTTCRGGAAGGGGTGGAATGAGCACTAATCCGTCACTAGTGAAATATCTGACTTTATTAGCGCTGCAAGGGTATCTTGCAAGAAGGCAGTACGTGCACAGTTTCACAGGGCATCCTCACGTCGGCTGAACACCAGCACAGCAGTGCCCAGCYGGCTGGGAAACACAGCTTGGGCCTCTGGGCTTACGGGAGTCCATTGCTCCAAGCCTTTGCTTCAAGGATCCGGCCACGAGAGAAGACAAAACATGGAGGGCCTGCAACAGCGTCACCACGAACCGCCAACCACGTTATTAAAACAGGGCTTTTATTTTATGAATAAAACCTAAGCAGACTTAGGACACAGACTTAGGAGTCTATTTTTTCTTCTTCCCCGTTTCCCTTGAGCTATCCCGGTCCTCTCTTTTGGAGCCGGGGCCGTATCTGCCGTTCCTGTGCTGGCCCTGCCACTCGCTCTCCAGCTGCCTGAGCATCTCCTGCGTCAGCAGGCCCTCGCGCAGCAGCCTGTTGGCGAGGGAGCCGTGCCTGGGGATCTTCACGTCCTCCCGCCGCGCAGACCTGTGGCCTTTCAAGCTCTTTCCTCTTCTCTCTCCCAGAGCCTCCGTGCCTTTCGGGGGCTGCCCTGGGGGGTTTGCGCCCTGCAGCCCCGACATCAGCCTCGAATCCCTCGCAGTCCTTGAAAGGGGGAATTCTTCCAATATCGCTGCTGTTGCTCCAGAGGCAGCAGTGGGCTGCGAAGCTCGGATCAGCTTYGTGATGTTGCAGACCCCTATCTGTATAATGTCATCGAGCTGCTTCTGAATATCCCTTACAAGGGCAGCATCTGGGAACATATCCATGAAGCGGTAACTGAAGAGAGGAAAGACAAAACAGCAAACAATTAAACCTTTCCACCCCAGGACTGATGACTGGGATGAATATCAGACACATACTGTTTAAAGCACATTATTACACTGTTTGTCCTCTGCAACATGTATTTTAAATGGCATTTCAGCTGTTGCAGCCCAGAGGCCCCTTGTATCTAGATCCTCTTGAAGGACCAGCAAAGGAGGCTGTTCTGCACCCCCATCCATCCTGGCTGGAAGGTGCTGCTTCTCCGTGTCAGAAAYACACAGGGAAAATCAAAATAACTCCCAAGCCCAAAGGCAATACCTTAGCCACAGATAGAGGTCAAAAACATCGTGAACGGCTTCCAGGTGCATGAGTTCCTTGATGTTCTTCGGAGGGGCCAGGGGCCACTTGGTGTGTCGGCAGAGCCAGTCAAACGTCAGCGGCTCGTTCCTGCTGAACTGCCTCGCAAACTGCAAAACAAGCGCGTGCACGGAAGGCTGCAGTCAGGAAGGAAGGAAGCTTCCCCGTTTTGGTTTGGTTTTCTCCAGTGCAGTTACGTACAAACCTCAACTGACCTTCCAGAATTGCAGTACTCGCTCAATTTATAAGCAAATAGGCTGTTTATGTTRTTAAGTGAGAGACCTTCAGTTTGCCTTTTGACATCTGCACGCTGGGAAAGGTTGGCTTCAACCCTTACAACACGGGACTGRGTTTGAAGAGTCTGCTCTTAGGTGTTTGGTTCTCAGGCCAGTTTATTACTCAAGAAGCTCTTGACCAACCTAACGAAATGTCAGTGCATTAAATTTCCTCACGTCTGTCTACATTGAAATCTCCAGAAAAGACCTCCTTCGTTTTACGCAGCACAAATGTCACTCATTCTCCTACTTAATTCCTCAGCACAGGAATCATCTCTTATTTCCTGGGTCTCATTAACACAGAGCAACAGGGCCCAGAGTCATCCGGAAAAACAGACCCTGGAAGGCAGGCACTTTCATCTAGTGATTCAGACCAACCACCTTCTCTTCTCCTACTCATATTCTGCCAACTCCCTTATGTCAGAAGCTCCTGGGTTGAGAAAGCAACGTTAAATATTTGTTGCTCCCCTTTGCAAATGCACTATTAGCAAACAAACAAACAAAAAAAAAAGAGATTTATTTTGCAATAGAAATCAGCCTGCCCAAAACCTAGAGATCTCAGCTCTTTGGCTAACAGAAAAGTCAAAAAATATATATTTTTTTCTGAAACATTAATGACAGAGTAACTAGTTTCTAAACAGCTRCTATTAGAGATTTCTTTTTTCAGCATGGAGTGGAGTCTGAATTCACAGAGGCCTTTACCAGTCTAACTCCCTCTGACAGAGGTTAAGCCCCTCTGCACCTTCACTGCCTCAGACCTCAGTGCTGAGCATTTTTTAAAGCTTCAATCGGGGCATTCAGTGGTTAAAGAAAGTCCTTAGTTAATTCTGAAAAGCAAAGGTCTATCAAGCATCTGGGACATGAGGGCAGCACAGCAGTTTCATTGTTAAAATGTTTTGACAAAAGTGTGTAATTTAGTCGAAGAGAGGATGGAGGTGACGGTGTCAAAAACAAAGGAACAGTCCCGAACAAAAGTCTTAATCCTGCAAAACTGAAGTCAGCTGACTACAAATTCCTCAAAATAATCACTGCAGGGGGCACAGCAGAGAACAGTTCATCCAGGCATGAATACTGGGGTAATTCAGAGTAAATTACAGCACTGTTTCCCGGGCAGTTTCGATTCTGTGTACTTGAAACATCAGCAATCATATTCAAGCCCACACGCTACTTTGTTGACAAGCTAAAACCTGGATTAAGGACCAGTTTTGGAAAATTTTAGTGCAGAAGTTAATTGTTCATAAGCGATAAGCAGTTCCCTCCCACCAAGGAAAGCAGTAGGATTTTGTGGCAAATAGTAGGAAAGCTTCCAAATTTTAACTGATAACCCAAAATAAGAACTGAATCTCAGAGCTGAACAGCTTCAGCTTCAAATATATATATAAAATAAATCCAGCTATTTTATATTTCTATTTTTGAACACTTCTAAGAATGCTCTCCAATGATCTAGTGACCAAACRCATCAAAAATTAAACTAGACATAGTTGCATTGTATCAAGAGCCATTAGACCAATATAAATGGCACATTTTCCGTGAAGAACAAGAAATAACTGACCTTCAGCAGCGTCGTGCACACAAAAGGCTCCTTTCTGTTTAAGGGTGCAGTGCAGAAAACATATCGTGAGCGCAGATTTAGTGGAATGTGCTGAATCATATCTGCCAGGAATTTAAAGTCATCGATATTGCAGACAAAGTACAGTCCATCGACTTGTGAGAGGCTCACAAAAATATCCTGTGGAAACATCATAAGCAAACGAAGAGGATGTTATTACAGAAGGAGGTGGCCAAACTTTATGTAATTTATACTTTATTTAAGCATTTTCAATTAGTCTAAGTATGCAGTGTAATATTCTAGAAGCATGCATTTTAGCTACAAAGAACACTACCATAAGAGCCAGCTATATCTAAGCTTAAAACTTGCTCCACGTTTGCTTCTTATCATGACTCCAAAAAAAAAAAAAACCCAGTAGCTATTTTCGCAGTATAAAATCCAATAATTGGAGTTATTTTTAGGTCAACCTTCAGAACAGTTTTATTTTAGGAAGACAGACATCACGAGATCAATAAGGTGTTGCAATAAAGGCATTCAAAGAATACCTGAAACCTGCAACGCTTGGCAAATAGCAGATGCCAGGGCACATGGCACGAGGGAATTTCATGGGCCCTCCAAATCAGTTCTCTCTAGTGGCTATGTGATCATTAAAGAAGCACTGAGCTTAATTAAATGTGTGACAGAATACTTAAGAGACCAATACTGGGACATTTTTAATCTTATGGAAACTCTATAAAGTTTAAAAGTGTGCTGTTACTCTGCAGCTAAGTCTTCCAAGATGTCTCTGCGCATAATCCTTCACCTAGAGGTTAGAAACCACACACATTCTTAAGGAATAGGACATCAAAGAAATATAATATCCATTCAAACCAATGAAAGCTGCTAAAAGTTCCAAAGTCAGTAACCATCATGATATTATTTTTAATATGGCCTTGGAAGTTTAATTTCTACTTTGAAATACTTAAGCACTTCCAAAGATTCTATTGACAGTCACACGGGTTAAAGTAGATCCCCCAAGTAAATCTGTTTCTCTAATTTAAGCTAGTTTCCCATAAAATTCAGATAACCAGGTTAAAAATAAGCAATTCTCAGAAAGAAGTCTGACATGACGAGCTCAGTTTTCCAGGAGTTTTCACACAACGTTATCACAACTTCACTTTTTAAGGTCTTCAGCCTCAGATCAAAAAGCATACTTTTAAAAATGCAGAAAAGATCAAATAAGGTTGTTGCATCAGATACTCTTCAACACATCTACACATATTTGCACACATTGAAGGCCTTCCAATTTAACATAACATGAGAAAAAAGGTAACCATTCTAAATGTATTTGCAAACAGAGTTGGAACAGAAAGAACAACCTGATTCCTAAAAGATACGCAGAGATTCTTAATGAGTAGGAAAGCAGCACCTATAAGTGAGCTCCATTTTGAAACCAAAAACTATTTTTTTTWAAAATCATTCTTACAATTAGATTGGAGAGAGTGGCATCAGGGAGATGATAAGCAAACATTTCTATCTGTTCAGCAGTAGGATGCAGGCCAGCTGCCTAAAAGCAAAATAAAGAGATTGGTTGTTAATCCTCCATGTCTTTAAGTTAGTGTGCAAGAAAAAACAAAATCTAGAAGGATAAAATGCACGAAACCAGAGTTCCCTACAAAGCCCAACTTATTCAGGACACTTACCTGGAATTTAATAGAATTAGAAGACCAGCTTCAATATAAATTAAAATATTGGAAGCCCCAGAGAGCCTCCAAATGTATCTTGTATCAAATTCACTCTGGCACGACCCAATCAATTTTTCTAACAGAACTGTAAGCRGACACGATACTGATTTTGGATCAGGACACAGGAACAGAGCTGCACACTGCACCCATTACAAATGGAGTACTAAGCTCTCACCTTCACAGGCTGCACAGTCTCACTCAAAATTTCCTTCAGCTGCGGGAGGTCATCTCGATGCATCGTAGTGACTTCTCCTTGCTTGAAGGATGAGCCAAAACGGCCGGCTCTACCCGAGATTTGTAGAGCCTGAGAGGTTGTAATTAAATCTATTTCCTTCTCTCCCTTTTCATTGATATTTGGCTTCATTATAGAGTTAAAAATTATTCTTTTTATACACCTGAAATATTTAAACAAAAATCTAAGTTTCAGAAATGCGAGAGACTGATATTCAGAAAGCACAGTGATGGTGCTTGATCTCATAAAGAATAAGACCAAATTAGTCACTCCACTTTTAGAATCTGCTTTAGAATTAAAGCTCATATCCACCCAAACCAAACACTATCTCAAGACTAAAGTGCCTGCAATGTAAGTGTTCTCCAGACACTAATTAATTTGTCTAGAAGACATCTAGACAAATTAAACTGGGGGGAAACGAGTGAAGAAACTCATGCAGGCATCATACTAAAAATAAGCATGCCATAACCTCCTCTGAGTACTTACAAATTGAGTCCCATTCCAATCGCATCTGTRGCAACCAAAATCTTGCATGGGTCAGCAGGATCGTTGAATTTCTTTGCCTGTTCGAGTTTTGTTCCTTAAACAGAGTGACAAATATTTCATAGAGCGGACTCATCTTACAACATAAGGAGGGAATATCTCTATAAACGTGATGCCCTTATAGTTTAGATTGAGGAAATACGCATATACAAAATAATATATGTAATGTATAGATAGATAATAGATATACACCTATGTCCAGGAGGAGTCCTTTACCTGGTGGCAGGCTGCCATATATGACAGCACACTCTAATCCTCTGGCTTCAATCTGTCGGCTCACCGAATAAATGTCGTTCTTACTGAAACACACAATGCAGTCCCCTGGCCGGAGGTTATCCAGGGATTCTAAGGCATAATCCAACACAGTAAGAGGAGTGAGTCTCTTGTAGTTTCGGACCTTGAATTAAAGAGCAGTTGCGAAAGGTGAGGGTTTTTTTTTTCTTTTTAATGTAAAATTCATGCAAAATTTCTGCTGATGTGCTTAAAACCATGACTGACTGCAACACCAAGGGTTGCAATCCTGAAGGGATTGTAATTACATGGTTAAAACCACATACCTGCAGCATTTCCCAAGGTAAGAACTAAAAAGCYTTTCAATAAATAGCAGACTATACATTCTTCCACACAAACCAGATTCAAGAGAAAGAAATATACAGGRTATCGTATAGTTAGAGTAATTCTAGGGAGAAGTGAGTGCCTGTTTTCACTAATTTGGTCACCTGAATGGTGTAACTGGTCTTCTTTACAGTGAGGAGTGCCATGAAGAATATAAATTCATCTGGATATCATGTAGGCTGCACTCCCCAAATTATGATGTTAAATAATCTTTAGAAATATTTTTCTCCCAGGAACTTTTTTTGACTGTAAAGTTGAGTTGGAGGGATATTTCAATCACTTTCTCCTGCTGGTATTTGCTCTTTTATAACTCTCCTCAACACACAGAGAATAAAAGCAGAGTAAAGCAAGTAAACCACCCATCACACACATCAACTTTGCACMATCTCCTCTGATGGACTGGAATTGAGCAACATTTTAACAAAACAAATCCCTGCAGGAACAGCTTTGATGAGTAATATCCCCTACAAAAGCTTGTATTTTAGCCTGTTTTCTGACAGGAATCACCCCACGTTCTGTCTGTAACATTACGGAATTAAAAATCCTACCTCAACCTCCTCCCCAGTAGTGTACATGAGCTCTGTCACCAGGTCAATAGCAGCAGCTTCTCCACACACATGGATTTCTTCCGCACAGAGCCCTGAACAAGACCCAGGAAAATACAGTGCAAAATGTCACATAAGCAACTCCACGTGTTGTTAATAGTTACCAAAAATGTGTAGTTTTAATTGCACAAAAAAAGCATACTTCTAGAAAATACTCAGTGTGAAAGGAGAGTGTCTGACAACACAGAGACTCTACTAAACACAGAAACARAACCAGAAAAATGCATCTGCAAAACCTAGGCAATACAATTTTCAACATTATTCCTTATGCGAAACATGACAGGAAACTTGCTGCCATGCAGAGAACTCTCTTTGGACAGAGTCCCTCTCCAACTTGGTACACAGAGGGCTTAGTAATGAAGAAACACCACTTGCTTTTACTTTGCATCACGCATTGTAATCACTTATCAATATATTGACTTCTATAGCTTACCTAGAAGGGCTCTTGTCCAGGCCCATCCTCTAGCAGGATCTCTGATCATCTGAATTTCATCAATCACAGCAACTTGATCTTAAAAGCAACCAAACAAAACAGTTAAAGAAGTTTCCTGGGAAGATAATCTAGGACAGCAGYACTACATAGGAAGGAACATCTCGGAGGCTTTCTATCAAGTTAATTACCTACCATCCAAAAGCTAATCTGAGATGATCCAGGTTTTATAAAAACTGTTCTAACCTATCTCAGGAATTGTTCAGCTGAGAAAAGGTAAAGGTCAGCTACTCAGGGAGCAGCAACACGTGTAAAGAGGAGGATGATGTGATTGAAACAATGATGGATACGTACAAGGGGTGTTGGTGCTGCACATCTCAATGGTACAGGCAATATGTGGAGCTTGCCTGGCATCCTCATTGGCATAGACCCGCTCCTCTCCTGTCACCAAGTCACAGGGCACGTTCTACAGAAAGCCAGAAAACTCACGTTAAGTTTCTTAAATGTAACAGAATCCCTCTTCCAACATGTGTGTGTGGGGGGAAGGTTTCTTAAGCTATCCTTTAGAAGTGTTATTGGAAGGTGCCCAGGGAGCAGCTACGCAGCCCGTAGGCACAAGAATCACACTGTGTTTAAGCTCTGTGGGGCTGAAGTACCACTATTAACAGTGTGATATATTTGTAACTAGTGCCAGCTCTTCCTCTCCCTCATTCCTGCAAGGGGGCCACGAAAAGCACGGTCAGAAGAGGAGCTCGAAGCAAAGACCCTCTGATAAGTTCTACACATTACGTGCATTAATACATGATAATTAAAGCATGATATGCTACTGTGATGCTCTGTGCAAATGAAAACAGAGGAATGAGAAGCTTTTAAAAAAACGCTACAGGCAAAAGAAAGTATTAATGAAAACTTCCCCTAGGGACCCGAAATAATAGGGCACTGGTGTTCACCGACCCACAGCTCTGAAGCTGCACAGCTTTTTATTATAAGGCACTGTAAAACATATTTAAATATTGCAGTAGAAGGGGGAAGAGAGTTAAGCAAGGGTAAYTGCTTGAGTACAAGCTAAAGCAAATGCTTCTACATGGGAAAAAGCTAACAGCACAGCTTAGGCAAACCCAGGGAAACTATCCCAGCACGAAGGATGCAGGTAAGTAATATAACATACTGACAGCATCATTACTCTTTTGGAAGATTTCATGAGCCAGCAGTTTCAGTGGACCGCAATATATTCCTGATTTTGCTGATAAAAATCTCTGGATGGCATGATAAGTTTTGCCGCTGTTTGTAGGACCAGAATGGAATATTATCTTTCTTTGAATAGCCCTTGCTTCTGGATACCTAAAAACACACACATATATATAAGATAGATTAGGATACATATTTAATCTGGCATCCTGGATACAAAGTTAAGTGAAATCCCAAATTAATTTAAACATTTCCGTATCAGTAGATATTTAAAGGGTGGTAAAAGGACATCAAAGTTCTTAAATAGATCCAGTATAAAGAGGCTATCATGTCTTATATATTCATTTTCTAATCCATATCGATTCATCCATCTATCCATCTGATGCTTTTTAAGACTTAAGCTGATACATGATGTCTGCAGAAGGATTTTTCATTACTGTCCTTTTTTGTGGAGGTATATTAATATTCTAATGGTTGGATGGGCGATTTCCCAAACAGATACAGCCATAAGACAACTTTGCAGCATGTCTTGCAACAAAAAATAAGAATTTCTGAGACAATTTACTGTAAAACCAAATAAATACATTAAAGGGAAGATATATATCATGAAGCTGAAGTCCTCGGTCTATGAAATCCTGTGACAATAAGGATAGAAAACACAGTAGCCACTAACACACACTGACCAGTTGGGCGGCAGCCTTAAGTCACTGATTTTGCGCAAATCATCCATACAATCCAGCATTGGAAAAATCTGCTTGGCATGCCTCAGGAAAAATGGAAAGAGATCATCCACGTGACCTAGAAGACAGATTCTTGTCAGAAAGTTGGCAGACCTCTTGTTTGAAGGTCCATATATTCATTGCCCAGCTTTCATAGCATTACAAATAATACCTGCATCTGATAAGTGTTATTATCTAACTCTCCAAACAATCAGTCACCTCTTCATCTTTGCAAATTAGTATTGAATAAATCAAAAATTATTTAAGAACTTATATTCTGTAGTATCTTAGTTATCACTAATTACAAGCTAAGCTCACTTAAGGTTTAGAATTGATACAAGTAACCATCCTTTACACTCCTATACATGCAAACTTAAAGGATATAACACTCATTGATATGTAAATAAAGATTTCATGTGAAATACTGTATGCAGATACAATATTAACCTAGACAAGAGAATGCTCTTAAAGTGCCACCTAGTGACTACTGGATTTTTTGAAAGAGGAATATATTGAACAGTAGTTTTCATTTTAGCAATGATCAGACACTATAAAACAACAAGCTTCAAAGTTTAGAGGTTTTAAAGACAGAATACTTCCTAGACTGGGCACAAATGTTTCCAAGGACAAAGCAGAATGACTTTCTAATCTCTATTACAGTATGGTGCAAAGGTACATAGAAAGATAGTTAAGTAGAAAAGCCAGAAACAAAAAAATTCAGAAAATACACATTTTATTTTACAAGCACTCCTGATACTTGCCTGCATCACAGCATATATCATTGAGAATAATATGCAAATCAGCACTCACAGAGTTGGATTCCATGATATATTTCCTAAAGCTTATAAACGCCTGGTGAAAAAGGCGAGCTGTAAGAGAAAAGACAACAAAAACTATTTGTAAATACCTATCAAAAATTTTGAGTAGTTTATTAAAGAAAATACTCCTTAACATGAGATAATACAAATAAGCATAAAGGTTATCTGACCTCAAAAAAGCAGATCCACCTATGCCATACATGAATAAAGGATGAAAATTTCATCTGGATGAAAACAYTTCTTAATGTACTCAATGGGAGTCTTAAATTGTCCAAACAAAGCAGTACTACAACATTAGACAAACAAGARCAGGCTACTAAAAGCCAAGGAAATCCAAGCCTGTATGCAGGGCACGTTGATCCTGCAGAGCACTGGGTATCCCGTGAAGCAGGTGGGGAGGACATGGGTGGGTGCCCGCAGCAATAAAAACAAGGTCTCACATTTTTTAGAAAAAGATACTCTCTTAGAAAGCCATTTCCTTACCATCCAATCCATTTTCTGCTCCCAGTCTCTGGATTTCTTTTCTTTTGTAAAACTTATTCAAGTTTTTCAGAACTTCACCTGCAAGAAAAAATAAATAATAAACATTTCTGAGCTACCAAGTTTAGTTTTTCTCAAAAATAACTCAAACACGGCTGAAGATCACGACTTAYAGTCTCTTTACCTCTGAGAGGAAACCTTGCCACGATGAGGGCACTCATCAACGATTTCTCACTAGTTTAATTACAAGCAATATTTGAGACTGCAGTGGAAGGTGCAATCTCAAAGAGCAGCAGTAAAATCGGGTCATTCCCACGCAGCACCTGAGATGGGACTCCCTGTTTTTACTAGATCAGGAAGTTAACCTGCAACTAACTCGCCTCCAGCACACGCTGGCCTTTCTGCAGGAGGGAAAGGGCAACGCTGGAATATTTATTACTCTCCTAGGCAGCGTGGCCTTAAGACCATCACAGCCCTRACCATCAAGATCACTCTCCTTCCTAAGCACAATAGCTTGGCCTTGTCAATAAGGGGCATCTTAGCCCACCTTAGCTTTCATCAGCTCCTTGTGACAGCACCTGCTTCTACCATCTGAGCCTGCAGACAGGGTATCTACCCTGGAGACGTGTTCTGCTTCCCCCATTACCTCTTCTTRCCTTTTATTCCTGTTTGTCTAATATTGATAACCTTTTTCTCATTTTAGAGCATTGTTTTTGCTCTTAGCTCCCTGACTTCTTTGATATCTTCGTAGGATTTTTAAAGGTTCTGTATAAAAAGGCATCCTGTCACTGCAGCAGCTCCAGAAAGGATGCAGTTGGCTTCCAGTGTACCCGGTTTAATTCCATTTGCAGGAAGGAAAGAGACATTCTGGTGTAATCCCTGTAAGCAAAGCTCAGAAACAAAGCACCTGCTAATTACAGTAACCAGTGGGTTACAACTGGCTGGATACCCCAGAATCTAAAGCAAACGTCACCACTCAATGACACGTTTCCCACAAAATCACAAGGGAGCAAAGGGATGCAGCCGTGAACCGAGTTCATGGAGTTAAGTAGCACAATTACTATAAAGGCTCCTGTAAAAGCAGCTGTGCAAAAAGGGCTGCGACAGCATTTGACTAGCTGGAGATATCTGACCGCTGTATCACACCAAAAAAACAAGCTATTATGCTGAATTGTATTGGAATTACGCATCCCGTTAAAAGACATAAAGTTTCTTCAAAAGCTGCAGTAAGAATGCCTATGGATACTCAGCTTACAAACCTTTATTTCCTGATTTTAGGTCAGTTCTGAACAGTGGAATTTAACCTGCTAACTTCAATAAAAAAAAAAAAAAAAACCAAACACAAAAACAAGTTGCTGCATGATTCAGGGCACGGTGAAGGAAGGGAAATCCAGAGGAGGGAATTTTATACATTTTTTAAAGCAGTATTTAGTAAGGAAGGCCTCATTAACTTTAAACCTCACTGCTGTGGCTCACAGTACAGAATTACTGCTAGCCACACACAGGGAGTTGTGGGTCACCGTGCTGGGTGGAAAAGCTTTGGTTTTCTCAAAGATTTTCCCTCCTGGCTCTCAGGTTTTTTTTTTTTTTTTTGAGTCCTGTTCTTTGAGCTCCTGAGCAACCTCAGGTCATTTCCCAAGCTTGCTTTACCCGGAGCTAGCGCAAACCGAACGCTTGGCTGTGAAAGTGTGCAATAAAATAAGCTTTCACTTCTTCTCTCCGCGCCCGGGATCCCCCAGGCAGGAACCCGATCCTTAGTTCAGTCCTTAGGGAAGGGCCTTCGTGCTCGGCGGCGGCGCGAGGCCGGGCCACGGCGCCCGGCTCGCCCGGCCTCCCCTCCAGCGCCGGGCAACGCGCCCCAACGGCCGCAACGGCCGCGCTCACCCACCCTTGTCGAGCGGCCGCGTGAGCTCGGCGCCCACGTCCGCGCCGGGCGCCGCCTCGGCGGCCTTCAGCGGCACGGGCACGAAGAGGGAGGTGTCGGGG